CCCAATGGACCTTGTGGAAATAAATGGATTAGTCCATCAAATTGCTCATCAAAATTTAGCTGTGTATACCAAATTTCATTCATTTATCACAACGCGATTGAGAGATATTGCAAAAAAATGATTTCCATTCCTCCCTCTTAGGAATCCTTAGGAATGCCCTGTGCCCTTAGGAAGCATTTCCGGACCCATGTTCATATGAACTTTTTTACTTAGTTTTGATCATAGAATCGGCCTGTTCAGGGTTGGCAGCTAATTATGAGACACCCTGTATAACACTACAATATAGTCTGGTGAATGTGGAGTCCATTATGTGGCCCACCTGATACTTATTCAGTTAGTCTCAATACTTCACGAAAATATTACTTGATAAATGTACTTGTTTTGTTGAGTTCTACATCATCTTGAAAAGTACTCTACGTATATTAGCAACTTCTAAGTTGTACATTGTAGTTCCTACTAATGTAGGTATCATTATTATAACTTTTTAAAATTTCTAGCTCCGAAATTACATCGATATTCTTACCTTGATAGATACCGCTAATGAGATACTTATTTTAAATATTCTTTTACTGATGCCTACTCCAAAGCTTCACTGATCTCTAAAAACAGAGTTCGTGTATATTGGCAAAGAAATACATTATTAAAGCAACCTTCCTTTGTTTGCACTAAGATTTCCTCTTAATTATCTGTAGCCTGTTCGAGTCTCGGATTATTTTCCAAAGGGAAAATCCTGGCGAAAACCGCCGTAACTAATTGCGCCCCGCGCAATTTCCCGTCTTAAAAGAGAACCGACAAGTGGGATGCATCTGTTTATCTTTCTCATATTCCGCCGGATGCAGGTTTTTGAGATTAATAATGAATGGATGTTCCCCAGGGGCTTCTCCAAAGACTTTGATCCTTGCATCGAGCAAATTGTTCATGCCACGTTGGACATCTACAAGATGGCCAGGGCCAATTTGCTGCCGACTCCGACGAAGTCGCATTACCTCTTCAATCTGAGAGATTTCTCCAGGGTGATACAGGTAGGAGGTCTATTATTTTATAACAAAGAGCATTTCGCCCCAAAAGGATCTGCGGATATTTAAAAATGGAAGATGCATCGGGCTCATGGTTTCATTCCAGAGCGCTGAAATAGAGGAAATCAAGCAGTATTTATTTATGAGGATAGTTTTCAAATATCACCTAACTTGTTAGTAAACAGGGTCGCTGATGTGTAATGATAAACGGTCGATTATCTCCTAGTAGATAACTATTGAAAAATCATAGGATACAAACGTTTTAGGGTTTTTTAAAATCTATTATAATAAAGAAAAAATTAGCCATACAGGATCAATAAAGTTGCTTTTTCTTTAATGGAACACCCTATATATTATTCCATATTTCAATTCTTCTCGAAATTCTGAATAAAACTCATAAAGCACATCATGTACCTAAACTTAACCGTTTTCGAGATATCGAACATTGAAAATCACTTTCTTATAAATTATGCAAAAATATTTTAGGAGATAATCGACCGTTTCCATACATATCCCCTGGAATAACACAACTTTTAATCTTAATTTACAATGGTAAATTATGAAGGCTTTAAATATAGAAATGTAAGAAATTCGCTATTCATTAATTATTTACAATGAATTGATTTCATTTATACAGGATGTAAGAAGTTTGACTGCTATTACTTCAGCATGAGATAGAGTAATCATAAATGAACAAAAAACTTGTATATTACAGGGGCAATGTTAACAGTTTTCAAAATACAGCGAGTATTAATTTTGGGGAGTATCATCACAACGTGACAACAGCGCTTAACCTAATGTGGATGTAATGTGATGCACAGCACGTGTGCACGCGGCAGACTTGTCCTACGGAATTACAAAAATGTATTGTTGTGAAACATTTAGTAAATTTCAAGACAATTGTTTTCCAGTTTTTAAGTAAATAAAATAAAATGTATCGATTTTGTAGTACGAAGATAGTGTTGTGCTGAAATTTTAGTAATTATGAATCTCTTAAAACAGGAACTCTTAATCAAATTATGAATTTGAAAAATATGTAATTAAAGTACCCAAAGATTCACGTCGTCGTCAAAACAATCATACGTATTAAAAATAATTTAAGCACTTACCAAAAAGCCAAATTCAGTAATTTTTAAATGCACAAGTACAAAACAAACTACAACATATGCTCAAAATGCACGACACATTCGAATCTAATTTTCGCGCACTCGCTGGAAAATACCCGAATTTTTCCTTATTTGATGAGCAGCGGCAAAAACTCGTTCTCGCAAGTTTTCGATTGTTAAATTCCAGATATCAACTGAATTGCGTGTTGTTGGTTGTTGGACACCTTAGTACCTTGTATTAACCGCCGCGCCGTTGTCACATTGCTCGATACGAATTTTATCGAATTTTAAATTTATTACAACGCTAATTATTTTTTAGAATTAAGCATAAAGAAGTTCAAAAAAGTGATAAACATTGTATTTTATGGTATTCTATGCACGCAGTTATGTCAATATTCCTTAATTGATCGAACTTTTGTACATCAAGTTGGAGATTTTGATAATTTTTTNTATTCTATTGTCTGTTAAAATTATGGCAGTCAAACTTCTAACATCCTGTATAAAAAAACTGAGCATCTCATTCCAAAGATATATAGCAGTTCATGTCTTAACCAGGAAATCTTGCCAGGTGATAGAACATGTGATTTCAAGTAAAAAGTTTCACATGAACTTTCTAGATACAAGATGTTGAAAATAAAAAAGATTGAATACATTTTTTCCAATATCTACGAAATAATTTTTTCAATTTTCAATATACTTCACCTCAAAAAGGAAGCATTTTGCGACTCGCATTTACATGAAACCATTTGTTCTTATACGTGGTTAAATTTCTTTATTAAGGCATTTAGATACCAACAAAAAAATGAATGAAGTTTCCGGAAAACGTACAAGTAATTTACAATTTTTGTTGATGGAACTCATAATTGAGATAATTAGTTATATGTTGTACTTTTTAAAAAAATATATATTTTATTATCAGATTTCATATTTTTACTTTATTGGAAAGCTAATTCAAACAAATTCAAAAATTGTTTTTAAAAATGTTATCAAATAAAGTCAATCCTCGACACCAGAAATTAAATGTTGATATTGCGGGTCAGTAGGCTATATGAGAACATATTTTTTAGGTGAGCATTAGCAGCAGGTTAGTAAGTGGTACCTAATGGTTGATCAATTTCCGAGCTGATTACCTTCTTTGGAATACAACCAGAGCGAAAGTTTTTCAGTTATAGCAGTATTTACCGTAGTTAAGATCTTGATGAATTAGCTCAAATTGGCATGTTGTTGGTTAAACTGCCTAAGAAATATGTTTTTTGTTCCTTCAGAGGAAGCAGCAAAATCAAAAACATTACTAAACCTTTTATGTTTTATTTAAAAATAAATCACCTTAACTCATTTTTTCTTAGCTTTTATAACATCTGTTATATGTATATAACAATCAAGTTTCCTCCTAGGGCGTCCTATTGTCTGTACCTGAAGCCATGGAAGACATGGTGGCTATGAAACGACTATGGGTACATGAAGTCTTACGGGTATACTACGACCGTCTAGTAGACGATGCTGATAGGTCCTGGATTATTGAAGCACTCAGAGAGGTGGTTGCTGATAAGTTGGAGGAGGATCTCAATGATATGTTTAAGAGGTTGGGCACACTTCAATCTTCAACGGTAAGAAGAAAAATTGTATACACACGGTTGCTATTATTATTTTTCTCATTGATCTTGCAGTCGTAAATTATTCCAAACATCTATCACTACAGGTTCTACTCGTTCAATCCAACGTAATTTTTGTACTGTAATGGAGGCTTAGGTATATAGAAAAATCTATCCCTCGAATAGGATGTAAAATCAAGATACTGAAAATCCTCCATTGATTATTATTAATTCTATTTACATTTATGTCCCGTGTAGTATACTCCCCACTGTCGATTGTCAAAAAAATTGCGTTGTTGCTATACGGATATTTTTTTTTCCATGACATTTAAAATTTAAATCTCGGCTGTTACAAAATGACGTGCACGCCTTCAATCTGCATCTCTTCTACGATACGGTCACAAATTTCCCCTTTTCTCCTTTCACGCTATAGTTGAATCACCTCGGTAAAGATAGCAGCATTTGGTACCTGTCTAACCGGAAAACATTCTACATCCAAATAATCCTAATCTATTCTGTCTTCGCCGTAAATTATTACTAATTTCGCAGATTGGAGAGATGGAGTTAAGGAACCTTTTGTATTGCGACTTCGCTAATCCCAAGGCAGACCAAAGGCACTACATCGAGGTTTTAGATTTGGAGAACCTACGTGGTATTGTAGAGGGATATCTGGCTGAATTCAATAACATGACCAAGAAACCTATGAACTTGGTCCTGTTCAAGTAAGTATGGTCATGGAAATTTTGATATTTGACGCAATGGTATGAATTTTGGCCCGTGAATATATCAGATTTCGTTCCATTTCCATTTAGGTTCGCGATAGAGCACTTATCTAAGATCTGCAGGATAATAAAGCAGCCAAGGAGCCACGGCATGTGTGTAGGAGTGGGAGGCTCCGGCCGACAGTCCTTGACCCGTCTGGCCGCTCACATCTCCGAGTACGAGGTGTTCCAAGTGGAGATCACCAGACTTTACGGTGTCAACGAGTGGAGAGAAGACGTGAAGGCCATCCTGAGGAAGGCCAGTTCGTCCGACCAGCACGGTGTCTTCCTCTTCACCGACACCCAGATCAAGGAAGAAGCTTTCCTGGAAGACGTTAGCAACCTTATGAATTCAGGAGAGGTGCCAAACTTGTTTACGACCGAAGAGAAAATAGAGATCTGCGAGAAAATGAGACAGTTGGACAGGCAGAGGGATAAATCTCTTCAAACGGATGGCAGTCCTGCCGCGCTGTTTAATTTCTTCGTGCAGATAGTGAGGGAACAACTCCATCTCATCCTGGCGATGAGTCCCATTGGGGACAGTTTCAGGAATAGGATAAGGAAATTCCCGGCGCTGGTTAACTGCTGCACCATAGACTGGTTCCAGGTATCCAAATATTGGACTTTGAAGTTAAATTTTTTATTTTAAGTCTTTTTCAGTCATGGCCTGAAGATGCCTTATTGGCTGTAGCGGAACGGTTCTTGGGCGAGATCGAGCTGTCGGAAAGGGAAAGAACGGTGTGCATAGATATGTGTCAGATGTTTCATATGTCGACGCAAGAATTATCCGCTGAATATTACTTGAGGCTTAACCGACACAACTACGTCACGCCAACGTCGTACCTGGAGATGATTAACACTTTCAAGACCTTCTTAGATAAAAAAAGGAAGTAAGTAATTTAAAACATAATGAATATATGCAAGTTAGGATTTGTATGTAGGGTAGAACGTTGGAAATAGTTATTATTTCTTACTTAGCTAATTTGTGAATCCATACATTTTATTTCAGCTTTTCCCGACTATGCTCTAGTGAGTAGTGAGTAATGGTGAAACGCGAATAGGTCAGTGAGTGAGTGATGCCATGGAAATGTGCATCACTCAGAAGTGTTGTCAAAATTTCTTATCGTGTATTAAATAGTGGTGAAAGTGTAAAAAAGTGTAGAAGCGGCACATGTTGAAGAAAAAACTTGAAATTTACAATGATGTTAAATATGCGATCCGTAGGAAGATTCGCTGATTTTATTAAAAAAAAACTTTCAACATTAAAGAAAATTCAAATTGCAAGCGCAGAAGATTGGAAAATGAAGAATTTTCATCACCTAGAACGAAATCGAAAAACTATGCTAATAGAAAAGAATGTAATTGTAGTATGGCTGAGAGAGTATTGAAAAAAATATATAGAGACAAAATATTAATAAATAAGATTTCCAAGGTTTGGCGAGATTTAAATAACAACAGCACACGAGGAGCATTTAGAAGAATTTTTTACAGGAATGCGGATTTTTGGATAATGATTTTCGATTAGCTATGGACAGGAAATTTCCATGAGGTTATGGAATATTTAAAAATTGGTTTGCATCTACTTTGGCTTACATTGAACCTAGTGCAGTGATTGCCATGGATTATGTGCCTTACCGCAGTCAACGAATAGAAAAATTTCCAACAACTGCTTTCTGCATAGAATAATCGTGTTAAGCACGTACAAAAAGAACAATGAATGTGGTACCTCAATACAATTACAAGAGTTGACGTTATAATAAGAACAACAGTGACAGTGATAGGGTTGGTGACATTAGTGATTATTGATACTAATGCTTACAACGTTGTTGCTACTGTTTTGTCGGTGGTGCATCTCATTTTCTTGACGGTTGTACGTTTAGTACTTTAGTAGTTTTACTGATTTTTGGAACCCTCTAAAATGATACACCCATGGAATCGTGTTCCTTGCACGCTTTAACCATCTCACGGGTCTATTGAGAATAAGTTACTGCTTACCATTTTTGTCTAAAGTATACCTACACTTCCTGTTAACGAAAAAAAAAAAAAATTCGAAGGTTTTCAATATACGAGTATTTATCAATAGCATTTTCCACTTCATCATCAGACGAATACCTTTTTCGCCTGAGCTTCCTAGACATACCTAGAAGATATCGTTAACTGGGCTATTTTTTACAAAGCTTTGAATTGTTTTTCCACTTTTCTTACTATTACTTGTACCCTACCAATAAAACCTCATCTATAGTTTCAAACGATGGCTACTAATAATTTTTTAGAAGAATATTGAATTTTGAACTTTTCTGACACCGGAGAACAATTGTGGATACACTGCATCCATTTTTGTTTAGTGGGAGGATCTCACTGGTTCACATATGATAATTCGAAAAAAAAATATATTTATCACCTTCTAGAGCGTATTTTACCCTCGACAAGTGGTTTGGGAATTCTACAGTCTCTAATACCAGACCATTATGCAAAACAGTTTCAGGTGCATTAACTGCATTGGCATTAACATGCTTTCATTTGCGAATCTGACATCAATATTTATTAATTCGCTGCTACAATCATCAGATTTTCCAATCGGATTTTAAATTATCCTGTATCCTCTCTACCCCATTTAAGCTTGTTTGGCCAAAGTATATTTGGAAGTACGTTGGTTCTTCATGTCCATACACTTGTTTGCATTCATCATATACAGGGTGTCCTACTAAGGTCGGCGAGGTACGATATTAGGGAAAGTATAATCCCTACAATTTCGAAAAAGTTTTTATTTTGCTGGACTTCCAAGGCAACTTTTATTTTTGAAATGAATTTAGTAATATTCAAAGAAACTCGAAATGCACAAATAGATTTTTTAAATATAAATAAGAGCACATTAATGTTAGAAAAAACTCAAATTTTTTCAAAGAACCCCGCACAAAACATATGGAAATTGAACATCGGTCAATTTTTATGAAATTTCGTATTTTGATAGTCTTCGTCATGCTGATCAAAAGTCTCAATGGGTACGAAGCCCCACAACCCCTTCCAACCCCCCAAAACCACCCCCCAAATATCAGGGTAATGAAGTTGACAGATTACAGGTCAATTGGCTTACCGTAATATTTCACTATTGTACCTGCAACCACCGAGCCCTGCAACCCACACCAACCCCCCACAGGTCAGGGGGATGCACTTGACAGATTATCGGTCAATAAAACTACCGAAATATTTTACTATTACAGTCGAACATACAGCCACCCATACTGTAAGTAGGCTGAAGACTACCATCTCCAAAACACTTAACCCCCCATCCCTCTCCCTCCCCACCAACTAACAAAGCCTGTCATGTGACTCTTCCCTGCTTACTGGTTGTGTAACTGTTTAATCGTGAATTCCATCTCACAGCCACCTAAACGATCACTACTCTATACTCTCCGACGCCGACCCCCGACAATTAAAACATCCACCCCCAACCCAAATCCCACGGTTGGGGTCGGACCAACCCCAGTTCTTATCGAAGCCTGACATCACCTATCCCTGCTTACGGCTTATGAAACCGTTCAATATTGAACTCCATCCTACACCCATCTTATTGTTTAATACCCTTTAACTCACAAGAAGTACCTGCCATAAGATTTTTTGCTGTTTGTGGGATGTGAAACCCTGGCTGTAGGTTCGAATATTTCGGTAGATTTATTGACCGATAATCTGTCAAGTGCATCCCCTTGACCTTTGGGGGTCGGTTTTGGGGCGTTGGTGGGGGTTGCAGGGTTCGGTCCCCTTTGATAGTCTAAAGTCTAGTTATGGTGGGTTCGACCACAGTAGTGAAATATTACGGTAAGCCAATTGACCTGTAATATGTCAAGTTCATTACCCTGATCTTTGGGGGTGGTTTTGGGGGGTTGGAAGGGGTTGTAGGGCTTCGTGCCCATTGAGACTTTTGATCAGCATGACGAGGACTATTAAAATACGAAGTTTCATAAAAATTGACCGGTGTTCAATTTCCATATGTCTTGTGCGGGGTTCTTTGACATATGAAGTATCAAAAAGTCGAAGATAAAAAATTATGGTTCAAAATGTCCGTGTACAAGTCCCTCTTAAGATGTTTATGACTACAATTAAAAATTCATATTCGCACTAGCAGGTTGAACATCAGAAAGTTAATGATTTGAAGAAATTAAATGCAAGACGCCATATTTAAACTATAGTTGTACCGAATGACTTCAGATATGGTATTTTAGAATCAGTTTGACGTCTTCTATCTTCCCCAAACTACGTACAGTTACTAGCCGAACGCCATGTATATTTATTATTTAACAATTTAGTGAAGTACTCGTGGGGAAAAAGAGATACGAGGTGGGTCTGGAGAAATTGGACAGCGCCGAGTCGCAGGTTTCCATCATGCAGAACGCCCTGGAAGCTTTGCAGCCGCAGCTGGTGGTCGCCGCCGCCGCGGTGGAAAAAACGATGAAGATCGTCCAGGCTGAATCGGAGGAAGCCGCCGCCGTGGAAAAGACTGTCATGGAGGACGAAGAGGTGGCTAATGAGCAGGCCAAGGCTGCTCAGGCGATAAAGGATGAATGCGACGCCGATCTGGCCGAGGCCATGCCGATTTTGAACGCTGCCTTGGCGGCTTTGAACACCCTGACGCCTGCGGATATAACCATCGTGAAAACCATGAAGAATCCGCCCAAGGGCGTGAAGCTGGTTATGGAGGCAGTTTGTATTATAAAGGTAAATATATCCTTTATTCGTTCACAGTTCATTTTAAAACAAATTAATCTGATATTGGTATAAAAGTGGCAAGTAGTCCGACACGGCAAGGGACCCATTCCCTACCATAAGTCTAAAATTTCTAGAAAAAATTGGGGAAAGAAAATTAGAAAAAAATAAGAGCATGGAACATTTGTTACAATCTAGACACTTACTTATTTCAACAGAAATGTTACAGCACTTTCTCTTTAGAAGAAGATGCATACTTTGAACAGATTCAGGATAATCAAAAGCATGTTGCTCTGGAATCGGAAGATTCAGAAGCACTAGATATGAACTCGGATGGCTCAAAGTCAAACATGGACATTTACAAAATAATGTTTCTTTTTTGAGTTCAGTTTTCTGAGTTGGTTTTTGTTGAAATTTGATTAAAACTCACTTTAAATGTTGTTTTTTCAGGTTATAGAGATCTGATATTTTGTTCCCCCTTCATTTTTGGCAAAAAATATATATTTTTTAATTATTTATATTCAATAACTAATCGATTCCACCCCAAATAGGCCTTCGCCCCTCCTTCCTAGTCAGGATCAAGGCCGGTCAGATTGACAAAAAGTGGATTAAATCAAAGGATCTCGGAGTTTAGGTTTCTTGGGTCGCTGAATCCGAATCGAAGGTTAGCTTGTCTGTATCAAGCCATTTTAAGGTTGTTTCAAGGTAAATTCAAGATCAAATTGAGAAAGAGCCGAGCAATCAAGTCCGACCACATGTTATACAGGATTTTGGGGTCGCTGAGTTCGAATCCAAGGTCATTTCAAGGTCATGTTGAGAAAAGCCAAGCATTTAAGTCTAACTACCTGTTATTTGTGTATAGCGCGTATTTGGTGTTGCTGAGTTCAAATCTGAGCTCAGTTTATCTGTGTCAGGTCATTTGAAGGCCATTTTAAGGTTATTTGAAAGTTAATTTATGGAATAAACCCTGGGATCAATTATAGCATAGTCGCCTAGTCCGAATCCGAGGTCCATTTATATAAAGGTTCAAGTTTATTCCAAGGTTGATTTGAGAAAGAGGACTTCTGGTAGGGTCAGTGAGAGATGATTTCGACCCCTCTGCTTTCGACCGAAGCTAAAATTGTTTATTCTAAATATAGGTTTTTAAAATCATTCAAATTTAAACAGAGCTACGCAAGGTTTAGACAAGTTTATCTGAAAGAGTAAGTGAGCGGATTTTTTATCTCGAAAACTACTTATTTGACACAACAATGACCTGTACAAAGGTTGTAGGATTTCGCATGGGTTCCACATCAGTGATGTCTTGACCTAAAACTGGGCCAATTCTCCTTACCTTCGGGTTACATTAAGCTAATCGACACAAGTTAAGTAGTGGAGGACTAAATCGTTATATAACTATTACCACTAGCAGTGCCTAATTTACACTTGTGGGGGCCTGTAGGCTGAAAATTGGTGGGGGCCTATTCTAGAAAAAAATATCCTTTTTGGTAGGCCCTTCCTAAAAAAATATTCTTATTGTATATGCTTTCTCCCTCTAGTGGCAGCCCTTAAAATCATATCTTAATGGATAGAATTCAAAATTTAAGAATAAAAAATTATATTTTTCAGAATAATTTTTCTTTTTATAAAAAAAAAAAAATTGTTAACATGGTGATGGCCCCTAATTGGTGGGGGCCTGTAGGCTGCAGTCTACACTAGCCTATAGGTAAATCAGGCACTGACCTTCAGCATTAGCGTTATTCAATGTGCAGTACGAGGAGGTTGCACCTTTAAATAACCCTCAAATGACCTGATGCAGACAAACTGACCTCCGATTCAAACTCAGCTATCCCAAAAACCTATATAACTCGCGGTTAGATTTAATTGCTCGGTTTTTTCAATTTGCCATTGAAATGACCTTAAGATGACCTTTAAATGAACTGATACAGACAAACTAACCTCGGATTCTAACCCAGAAACCCCAAAATCGTGTATAACAGGTGGTTGGACTTGATTTCTCGTTTTTTTCTCAATTTGACCTCGAAATGACCTTGAAACAACCTTAAAATGGTGTGTGATACAGACAAACTAACTTCTGGTTCGGAATCTTTTTCCAACGTTTAATATGCACAGGGTGTCGCCAGATGGTTTCAACCTTTGATGTCAACAAACAAATTTTGAGCTGGAATAAATAAATACAATAAAGAACAAATTAGGAGGAATTGAGAAACTACCTTGCTTGGTTAAAAAATAATTTAAAATATACTTTCATATAAAAAATTAAGTGTGAGGGACAAAAAAATATATTGTTTGTNCGATATAGCGCTTTGACAGATGACGTTTAAGTTCATTTGCTATACGCTACGCCCTACGTCCAAATTTTCAGAACCAACTTGACCACGTTTTTATTTGAACGCTCGTTATTTATATCCAATAAATAATCGATTCCACCTCAAACAGGGCCTCTGTAGTGATTGTCTTACTACCTGTAGTTATATCTTATTTGTAGTGATTGTCTTACTACCTGTAGTTATATATTATTACCTAGCTTTGTATATAATATTTAGTTATTTGGATCTAATTAGCTAGGGTCTGGTAGTTAGGGAAAGGTATTGACAAACAAAATATAACTTTGTATGACCAGAAGAAAATAAAACATAAAATATTTTGAGGCCTCATATTTTGCAAATTAATTTACAGGTATATCAACAAGAACTTAAAACATACTATTTATGTTGTGCTAACCGTACATCGGCAACATAGCCTCCCCTATCCTTCTTAGTGAGGATCAAGGTCAATTAGAGGTCAGATTGAGAAAAAATGCATTAAATCAAAGGACCTCGGAGTTTAGGTTTTTTGGATGAGTCCGCCATTTTAAGGTTGTTTCAAGGTAATCACATTGAGAAAAAGCCGAGCAATCAAGTCCGACCACATGTTATACAGGATTTTGGGGTCGCTGAGTTCGAATCCGAGGTCAGTTTGTTTGTATCAGGTTATATGAAGGTCGTCTCAAAGTCATTTCAAGGTCAAGTTGAGAAAAGCCAAGCAATTAAGTCTAACCGCCTGTTATACACGTATTTGGTGTTGCTGAGTTCAAATCTGAGGTCAGTTTGTCTGTCAGGTCATTTGAAGGCCATTTTAAAGTCATTTGAAAGCTAATTATGGAATAAACCCTGGAATCAATTATCGTCCTTATATAATAACTACTTATTTAACACAAAACTGACCTGTACAAAGGTTGTAGGATTTCGCATGGGTTCCACATCGGTAATCTCTTGACCTAAAACTTGGCCAATCCTCCTTACCTTCTGTTCGCGTTAAGCTAATCGGCATAAATCAAGTAGTGGAGGACTAAATCGTCATATAAATATTACCTTCGGCACTAGCTTTATCCAATGTGCACCACGAGGAGGTTGCACCTTGAAATAACCCTCAAATGACTTGATGCAGACAAACTGACTTCGGATTTAAACTCAGCTATCCCAAAGACCTATATAACAGGCGGTTAGACTTAATTGCTCGGTTTTTTCAATTTGCCATTGAAATAACCTTAAGATGACCTTTAAATGACCTGATACAGACAAACTAACCTCGGATTCTAACCAAGCAACCCCAAAATCGTGTATAACAGGTGATTTTTTTCTCAATTTGACCTCGAAATGACCTTGAAACAACCTTAAAATGGCGTGTGATACGGTTTCAACCTTTGATGTCAACAAACAATTTTTGAGCTGGAATAAATAAATACAATAAAGAACAAATTAGGAGGAATTGGGAAACTACCTTGCTTGGTTAAAAAATAATTTAAAATATACTTTTATATAAAAAATTAAGTGTGAGGGACAAAAAAATATATTCTTTGTAAGTGCCTTTTTCCTATCCAGTGTCAAAAAAATTCAATAGGAAAGGAACTAAGAATTACGTTTTATTGCCATATTCCAAATTTTAAAGTAATTTTTTTAATTTTTGCCTCTTGTGTAGGTCCCTTTTTGCATATATTTGCAGTTTAGAATTAAAATGTATGTTTATGTCGTATATTTGATGGCAATCATTTTTAATTTTGCAATTTAAAATAAAAAAATAAATAATAAAAAAAGTAGGTATCTTCGAGCGTCTTCAAAGTTGGTAGGTATATGGGATAAACTTTATATGAAAAATGGCATTTTGTTTGAACAGAAATTTTTTTTTGCTACTGAGAAGGCCTAGTATNTTCACCATAAGTTAAAACGATATCCATCAACTCCGAGTTGCTATACAAGCACGCCATTTTTGACACTAACCACTAAAAAATTATTGTAAGCACTATCGCAACGACGATTGTAAAATGGATTTCAGTATTCGGAGTTGCTGAAGCCAGGTGGCTCTCCAAGCGTATTGCGATTGACGCTAGAGACTACAGTTGTTCAGCAATGTAATGCTTGAAAGTACTACAAAGTAAGGATTTTACAAACATTTTTTTACGATATTGACTTCTTTTCTCATGCCGCATCTATTCGCAAATTTTTTTGGATAATTATAAAACTATTTACTATTTTTAATAATTCATTATAAAGGACATCTTGTACATGCTGAGGGCTAACTTAAAACTTTGTTTCTAAATTTTACATCTGTCAATACGGTACGTCATGATTTCATCACTTTAGTGTTGTAGGAATTCCAACGAATCAAACAAAAAGAAGGGACCCTAAACATTGAAAATCCGACACTGGTCTAATGTCGGTTGGGATACAAGTTTTTCGTTAAACAGTTTAAAATGTTGGTAGATGATGTTTGTAATCAAACGAGTGTAAATTCTTGAAATAATTTTATATTTTATTCTCATGTTGAAAAATTAATATCAGATTGACGTATATTCCGATTTTTCTAAAACATTCAATCGGCTTGATCCCAATTTATCGCAATGGTATTTAGAATATAATGTGTAAAATATTCAATTGGAGACACTGCAACGGAGATATCAAAGACGATACATTTCATTAGTTTATCGTCCTCGTGGTACACCTCAAGAATTATTGCTTTCTTGGTTTAATTTTGACAGTCTTCCTAGCAGGCTAATTCGCCTGCTCTTTTCAATCGTATTTCTTTTTAAAATTATCAATAATAAATTAAATACAGATTCATCGCTTTCAAAGATTTAATATATTCGTAGACTTAATTCAAGGATGTACTCATAAAATTATATAATCACAAATCAAAATTGCAGTCAGCTTCGTGTTTCTTTTTTTATAACTTCCTAACATGGACACTGCATAATACCAACTGTGATTTGTTTGTACCATCTTCAGTTGTAACAGTACAACAATTTTCTCTAAGCAAAATTATATTTTTAAGGACATAAAACCGGACAAAGTACCAGCCCCTAGCGGGATCGGAACGGTTGAGGACTACTGGGGACCATCGAAAAAGGTGCTGGGCGACATGAAATTCTTGGAGAACTTGATCAATTTCGATAAAGACAACATACCAGTCCGCGTCATGGACAAACTCAAACATCAGATATTAAATGACGAAAATTTCGACCCGGATAAAGTCAAAACTGCATCAACAGCTGCAGAAGGTAAGACAAAACTCTTTCTTAATACAAGAACCCACTACCGTTTCACTTACAGGTTTGTGCAAGTGGGTCATCGCCATCTCTAAATACGACAAGGTGGCTAAAGTGGTGGCGCCGAAAAAGGCGGCCCTGGCGGTGGCCGAGAATTCTTTCCAGACAGCCATGGCGGCATTGGAAATTAAGAGAGCCATGTTACGCGAGGCTAGAGAGAAGGTGGCCAAGTTGGTGGAGGCACTGGACGCTGAGAAGGGTAAATTCGAGAAGCTAACGAACGATGTGAACCTGTGCCAGCTGAAGCTCCAGAGAGCGGAAGAACTGATCGGTGGATTAGGAGGCGAGAAGACTAGGTGGAAGAGTATGGCTAAAGAGCTGGGAGAAAAATATTATTTACTGACAGGTACTATTGTTGTCAATAAATTTAAAGGGATGTTATTATAAAAAAGTACCTCGACGCTGGGGAAAGGGTAGCAACATAATCGATCAAATCACATTATATTGGGATAGCTCTAATGAAACAACAAACTGCGGTTGTAATACGAAAAGTGACAGAGAAGAGAAATATCTTAAATGAAAAATTTTTTTAGCTCAACTTTTTTTGTATTTCTTTAGGAGATATATTGGTTGCTGCTGGTGTAGTAGCTTACCTAGGACCGTTTACCATGAAATTCAGACAACAGCAGGTGGAGCAATGGATATCGTCGCTGACTGGGTTCCAAATCCATTGCACCAAAGACTTCCAACTGACAGCCGTCCTTGGAGAACCCGTAGTGATCCGGCAGTGGAACATCTACGGTCTTCCTACGGACAGCTTCAGCGTGGACAACGGCATTATTATATCGTGAGTGTTTGAATTGTCAGTGTTGCGAGAAACAACTATTCCGAGAACTACATACCCCTACCGGCATTGAATTATACTCGCAACACCTAGTGCCACAGCTAGGGTCGTTTGTCACCAGTTTAACCCACCAGGCACAGACCGGTTTCGGACTTATTAGTCCTCATCAGTGTGTCATAGGTGAGACAAGCGACGAACGAACCAGCTGTTTTGCGTCGTATCGTCACGACAAGGCAATACATTGTACGCGGTAGTTGTTAGTCAGCACGACAGATGGAGCCATTTGCGCTCCTGCGTACAATATATCGTGGGTGTGTTCATCTGTTATTAATTAGTTTAACTTTTTATTTATTTCCATAGGAATGCCAGGAGGTACGCTCTTATGATTGATCCCCAGGGACAGGCGAATAAGTGGATAAAAAACATGGAGAAGTCGAACAATTTGGCCATAATAAGACTTAACCAGGCCGACTACGTTCGAATACTTGAGAACGCCATTCAGTTTGGTCAACCGGTAAGTGCGGGATATGTAATAATTGTTATTACGTTTTGGTTTGCTTTAGGTCCTCTTGGAGAACGTTGGTGAAGAACTGGACCCTATTCTGGAACCGGTTTTGGCACAGCAGATTTTCAAACAGGGCGGCGCCATGTGTTTGAAACTGGGAGATTCCGTGGTTGAGTATAACTCAGATTTTAAGTAAGTGTGTTGATATTTTTTGACCTTTTTCTGTTAGAACCACTGATGTAATTCGAAAATGTACTTGTTCATATGGTTTTACATTCCATTACATTCATTAGTATTCCATTGACTATTATTTGTGAGTCACTCCAATTTGCTTCTGATTTACTCCCATGGGGCGTTGTGTAATTTAGCTGTTTCCACTATTCTTTTCACTTGTTCTCTCTAATCTGCTACACCCAATCTACTTATATCTTCCTTAACTTGTTCTTTTCATCTCATTTTTCTCTTTTTTATTTCCAAACGGCTTCATTCTGTCAATCTTCTAATAACTTAATTACTCTACCTCCTATTCACGTGTTTATTGTGGTTATAATTACTTCCTTCAAAACATTTTACAATTCATTATTGTACATTTTTTTTATTTATTTTTATTGAACCCTAAATTATTCTAATAATATCCATCGCGCGAAGATTCACTGTCTCCCTTCATAGTCCTTCTATTGAACTTACTGTGATGACTTCTCCTAATGCTATTGAGGGTTGCTTTCGTTGTACAGTAAAAATAAAACGCTCTCTCAACGGTAAAAATAAAGTATTTTTAATAAAAGCTAAGTTTGTGGAAAAGACGTGTTGTTGGTTTGAGTGTTTGCTAGAGAGTCTCTCTTGGTGTGGAGTCGCTCGCAGAAGCACCTGATCCTTGGCGCCAATCTGCCCTCGACCTTTTTTGGAACCCTGTTGCGTCCCTGACGGCGTCAGGAAGGCATTATTGACGTTGTACTTAAAAATGAGTCACTGGCGACATGTGTACCCACACTATGTTAAATAATGTTAGGTACAGATAGTTCATCTCCTTGTCTTACCCCTTTATTTATTTCAAATTTTTTTTTCTAAAATCTTCTGAGGTTATATCTTCTGCTTTTGGTTCATTGTCATTTTCGTGAATCTAATTTATTTGATAATCAATCATGAGACATGCATTCTACATTCCAATTGCTAATGGGGTTAAATATGAAATAGGACATATTTATCTGTTAATTTCAATCGATAAGAGAAAACTTTTTTTTTTTTTCAGGTTGTACATAACAACAAAATTAAGAAATCCACATTACCTACCCGAGGTTGCCGTGAAGGTAACCCTAGTCAATTTTATGATTACCAGCGTAGGACTCCAAGACCAACTGTTAGGAATAACGGTGGCCAAAGAACGGCCGGACTTGGAGGCAGAGAAGAACGCTCTAATTCTGCAAGGAGCAGAAAATAAACGGTGACATAACGAAATAACAAAACGTTGCCATATTACTGATTCTTACCCTTAGGGCGCTGAAGGAGATCGAGGATAAGATCCTGGAGGTTCTGAGTTCCTCACAAGGCAACATCTTGGAGGACGAAACAGCTGTTCAGATCCTGAGCTCTTCCAAAACCTTGTCGAACGAGATCGCCGCCAAGCAAGCTGTGGCCGAGGTGACGGAAAAGCAGATAGACAAGGCCAGGATGGAATACACGCCCATAGCTGTGCATTCCACGATTTTATTCTTCACGATAGGTAATGGGCAGTCTTTGAGAGCGTGGTTCGTTGAAAGGTGTTTTCCGTTTCAGCTGACCTGGCGAATATCGATCCTATGTACCAATACTCCTTGGTATGGTTCATGAACTTGTTCAAATCAGCCATAGACAACACCGAGAAGATTGAAGACGTGGCGTTCCGCCTGAAGGATCTGGAAAGATATTTCACCTACTCCCTGTACGTCAACATTTGTCGCAGTTTGTTTGAGAAGGTAAGAGGTGAGGACATTTCTTGAGTATGTCACTGATTGGTTACATCGCAGGATAAATTGCTGTTCTCGCTTTTGCTGACTATAAACCTGATGAAGAGTCGTGACGAGGTCGACTTTGCGGAATGGATGTTCCTGCTGACCGGAGGTGTAGGTTTGGACAATCCGAACGTAAATCCCTCGGACTGGCTTGTGCCGAGGTCCTGGGACGAGTTCTGTCGTTTGAATGATCTACCAGCGTTCAAGTAAGTCAATATTTATACTTTATTTCATCGTGAAGTGTTTTGGCGCTTTGATGGCGTTGGTCTATACAATTCTACTGGCCAGTGTTTGTTTTTAATTCTAGTTTTATTACTGATCTTTATTATTGTTGCAAACACAGATTTTTATTAATATTATTATATATAACTACATATATATACCTATATATAACTAAACGTAAAAATAAACAAAATAAGAGAAAACAATTTGGAAGAAATATACTTGGACTATGAATGTGACAAGGAACAGAGGAAATAAGCAAGAAATATGAACAACAAAGAAGAAAAACAAAATTACTATGAAAGGGTAGATAAAATTTTACGAAAATGCATTAGAGCAAAAGGAAGAAAGTTAATTAATAGAAATAAAGAGATTCCAAACCTCTACAAAGGAGAGTTAAGAGTGAAAGAATATTAACCCTAACAAAACTGTTATAAAGATAAAGACCGAAAAATAATTTTTGGGGAAGAAGAAATACTGGACAGATGAAAAGAATATTTTGATCAACTGTTGAACGCAGACGAATAAAGCGAATTAAGGGCATAGAACTAATGTAAAAGAAAAAAAATGAGGTGCCAGTTCTCAGCAAAGAGAAATACTAAAGAAATATTTTCAACACTGAAAAATGACGGGACTCCAAGAACGCCACCAACAACAACAGTTAATACCATAACATCTTGGAAAGTAAGTACTGCCAAAGGAATGGAGAGAAGCAATAATCTGTTCAGTGCATAAAAATGGAGGATCAGAACTGCAACTCTGTTAAACAGAACTCTGTTAAATGTAGTATGTAAGATACTGGCAAAGTATACCTATAAAGGATAAATTGATATAGAAAATAAACGATCACAAAGGGGAATACCAGCATGGTAAAAAAAGAAGGTAAAAATACATTAGAAACTTTCACGCTAAGAGAAATATAGTGTGAAAACTTTGAATATGGAAAACCAACTTTACTTTTATTCATAGATTACCAGCACAAGGTAAAGAGGAAAGAACTATCTAAGGTGTTGGAAGAACTAGGAATTAGCAAAAAGATACGAAACGTGGTAATGTTAGCGTTGAAGAGGATAGAAAAGTAGTACGAGATGCATGAACAAATCAAGTCTCATATATTACAAAAAATATTTATGTCTGCTTTGGGTGCCAGGGCACAAAGGCATTTATGGGAACGAGAAAGCGGATGAACTTGTTAGGAAGGGATCCGAGACAGAGTTCACTGACCCGGAGCCCTTCTGTGGTACATCTCCCAGTGTGGTCAGATGGACTCTGGGCAAATGGACCGGAGCTCATGGAGTATCCTTCGAAGGAAATAGCAAACGATTTACTGAGCTTGAATAAAATCCGGCTCAGGAGAGTGACGGGACTCATAACGGGACACTGTCACTTTAGGAAACATCTACTTACTTGTAGACAGTCCGGTCTGCCGAGGATGTGACTCGGCGGATGAAACTTCTCTGCATATCCTGGGCGAGTGCCCGGGATTTGCACGTAGTAGAATGACGCTTCTGCGGAGACCTTATTTGGAATCCAAGGAACTGAGAGAAGTGTCAGCAAGGAAGCTTTTGGACTTTGTCAAAAGGACAAAACTACTTGCTAAATAGGACTAGTAGTGGGACGCACAATAGGCCTAATTAGGCCGCGGTGCTTTATTAGGACCAGTCACTAGCAAAGCGGAAGAACAATGTCTGCTTTTGTGGATGTTCTTATAGTACCTACCAGCTAGAAGTAAAACAGAATTAAATGTGGGAGTCAAGAAATCGGGAAAGCAGTGACTAGAGACGGGCTTGTATATTAATAAAGGAAAAACTAAATTGATGGAATGAAGAGATGAATATCAAGGCAGGTTTCTAAAAGTGGAAACTGATAGAGGCAAAATGCACAAGTTTGAGGAAGAGGAGCAATTCATATCTCTGGGAACTATATTTTTAGGAGAACAGAGATCAGGCTGTATAATGATTTTATACAGCCTAATTATTCTTACACATGCCAATGAAACATTGACTCTAAACAAACTGTCGTGGGGGAGGAAAATACTAAGGAAGTAAGGAATTTATAAAACAAAAGATATGCGTAGTTGGTGTCATGACAGCACGATTGCGGTGGTTAGGACATATTGAAAGGATGAGAAAATCGAAAATGCCAATTATGCTATTGAAACAGAGAATTTGTGGTCAGAAAAGAACAGCGAGACCGAAAAGTAAAGCAAGCAAGCAAGCAAGATATAGGAATGAATAGAGACACATAGGTCCGGGTGTTCTCCTTAAGACTTTCAGTGCTTTTGTCTCGGTTGCTATTTGCTACTGCCAGAGAATTTGGTATTGTTTGTAATTTTTTCATTAAATTATATAAAAATGTCTTAGATGTCTGTTGATTAACAGTTTGTCATTTTTGGTATACGTGGAAATAATTTTTAAACACTTGCAGTTTCATGTTTTCTTTTATTTAAATAATGTGGTAGTTGATTTTTTCAATAACTCATTTGCAATACATTGCAATAATATTTTCCGTACGATCAATGCATCATTTATGTTTATTTTTCACGCACTCAGTTTGTTCTAGTCGCTAAGGCAAGAATATTCCAACTCAAATTTTTACTTATATTCTTTCTTAATGGCATCAAGTGGATTCGATTAGTGATTATGTCGAGTAGAAAACGTTTGGTAGTAATTTGGATGCCTTATTTCAGTGGGCTCGTACAACACTTTACAGCGCATACCGACGAATGGAAGAAAATTTTCGATTCGGGAGAACCTCAGGAATGTCCGTTGCCGAGCCCGTGGGATACCAGATTAAATAAACTGCAGAAGTTAGCGATACTAAGGTGCATACGGTACGACAAAGTGGTTCCGGCTATTCAAAATTTTGTGACAGGTAACCCAAACTATCTATGGCCTTTGAATTAATAACAATTTTATATATATATTTTTTTGTTGAATCATCAGTATTTGCTCATTTTTTAGTAACAGTAGGAAAAAATTTGACCCGTCTATATTTTTCTTATCAAACTGGTATTCGTTTTTTTGCTAATTCCTTTTGTTTCTGAGACGCAGGGTGTTAAAATAGTACTTACCAAATCAGCTCTAATTACACTACCACTACACTACTACCAATAACTACGATTATCCGAGTAAATATAGTGTCTTAGAAATGGGGGTTTCTGTAAGGTTACTGTCACATAAAACAATTTCGGTTAGATTATTATAAAACCTACTATTTTTTGATAACCCAGTACAGATGCTATAAAAATTTCGATAACCTAATGTCTAATAAGTAAACCATGAAAAAGCATCAAGTTTCTTTTTGTATAAAAAAAAAATATATAAGCTACAATAACTTAAATTTTTTAAGTTACCCTTCGATAAAAAAATACGATATTAATTTTGAAAGATATAAAAGGAAAAATAACTAAAACTAAATGAGACTATTCATTTTTACGTTCCAATTGTAGTGTGCTCTAAAAAAATCAATTCCTGCCAAATATCAGTTGCTTATAATTATTATTCGATTAAAGAAATATAAATACATTACACTACCAACGAATATGCGGACATGCTTTTGATACTCGAGAATATCGAAATTTATCAGCAGCGTGAAACTGGAATTGTATAGCCTAAACGAGGAAAGGACATAAAATGCTTGGTTAAAACAAATGTTTCTCGAAAAGAGTGTTAATTTGAATGGCAGTATGTATCACCAATTTTCTTCCAACAATTTATTTATGTTTTTGGTTATTTAAACACTTTTTAAATCGTTGATTTGGACTTGGAGTAGATGCGCCAATAAATTGGCCAGAACAATTTCCAGATTTGAACCTTTTGGATTTCATTTTCTGCAGACAAGTCAAAGATAGGTATTATTCTGCCTCAGTGGAAACCGTTGAAAAGCTGAGATATGGAAAGCATAGATAACGTTTACAGAGTTATTTTGCACTACCATTACCTAACGACCTTTGATCTGTCTTTCTTGTCTTCGAGCTAGACTTTGTGGGGGCGAATCCGCTATCAGAATTAATAGGCCCGCCTTGATGTTGATCTCGGTTCTGTTGCTGGTTCTAAGCCTGCTATGGATGGAACTGCTCCTCAGACAATGGTGTCCTCTGACTTTCCGCAGAGCGCTCTGTATCTGGTTGCACCCAATGCTTCCAAACGTTTTGCCGTTCGTCACTGTCAGCATCTTCAGTCTCGACTGAAGGAAACTGTTAGAAGAATACATTTTTTTATAGTACTTGAATTGGATTATCGAAAAAAGTATACAGTTTTATAACAATCTAATTTCAAATGTACTATCTTATAGTAATTTTAGAGAAATCCCCGTTTCTACGACGGAATGTCTACTCGGATGATAGTAGTTTATGTTCAGATGCATATTGGTATTAGGTGACTGTTTGTAAAATATCGGTTTCACAAGTCTACTGTAGAGGAAGTTGTATTAAGAAAACTGATCTGGTAGGTACCATCTTAACAAATCGTATATCGAAAACAGAAGTGAATAGAAGAAAAACATATTTAAGTTTTCGTTACATTTCAACTTACTTAGGATCCTCTTCAAATTCTGTCACTAAGTGTAAGTTTAAAGATATTTGAAATCGAAAGTCTAGTAAAATTTGTTGGAGCTGTATTTCAAACTTCTCTTCGGCAAATTTAAGAGACGATTGTGACATTAACATTGTTTTAAAGACAATCTGGGCAAAAAATACATCGAACCACCTCCGTTCGACCTGAACTCATCCTTCGCCGATTCTCACTGCTGCATCCCTCTGATATTCGTGCTGACCCCTGGGGCCGATCCCACGGCGGTGTTACTGAAATTCGCCGACGATCAGGGCTTCGGGGCGGCCAGACTCTTCGCGCTGTCGCTGGGCCAAGGCCAAGGACCCATCGCGATCAGACTTATAGACGAGGGTGTGAAGAACGGTACCTGGGTGGTCTTGCAGAATTGTCATCTGGCCAAGAGCTTCATGCCTAACTTGGAGCGGGTATGTTATCGTCACTAAGAAATTTATGAAATTATTAGGAAATTCGTAGATTTGTGAGAATCTCACGCCGGATTCCACACATCCAGATTTTCGTTTGTGGTTAACTTCGTACCCAGCCGACCATTTCCCGGTGTTGGTGCTGCAGAATGGTGTTAAGATGACGAATGAACCTCCTAAGGGATTGAAAAATAATATTATCAGGTAAGAGGAGAAAAATTGGTTTGTTTACATTTTGCCATTATCAAATATTCCAAATTGGTGGATTTTTCAACGGAAGAAGATAAATTTTATACAACAGAATATTAAAAAAAATTACTGCGATAGAGTGCTGTATTATACAGGGTGTCCGGAAAGATCATGTCAAAAATGAAGGGGCGTACAGGGGAGCTCAAAATAGATATAGTACTTCATAAAAGAAAAATTCTTGTTGTGGAGTTATTTGCCTTCAAAGAAAGAAGTTTGAAAAACAAATTCCAATTATAACTTCTAAGTCGTTACCATGACAACAATGAAATTTGGGCAATTAAAGTAACTCATGTTAATAAAATGCGATTTACTCAAAAACGGATATCGATTGATATATGGCATACCTTTTTTTAGCAAATTGAGAGAGGAATGAAAGGGAAGGAAAGAAAAAGAGAAAATGAAAGAAAATTGCCAAGTTTGACAACGCTGTCAAAGATGTATAATTTGAAATGGATAATTTCATCTGCTCCTGTATAATCCAGGCATATTGAATATCAGTTTAAACATAGAAATGAACATTATCAAGAGTTACTTTAATTGCTCAAATTTCATTGTTGTCATGGTAACGACTTAGAAGTTCTAGTTCAAATTTGTTTTCAAACTTCTTTCTTTAAAGGCGAATAACTCCAAAACGAAGCCTGATAGGAAAAAATTTTGTATGAAGTACCTACTACAACTATTTTGAGCTTCCCTGTATACCCCTTCATTTTTGACATGACCTTTCCGGACACCCTGTATTATAGTAGCAGTATATCAGTTCGTATTATTTCCTTTGAGTGGATTAAGTACTACGTTTGAAGTATCACATGCAGTGCCATAATTTAATGCATTTCTTAGTCTTCAACAATGTTAGTAGAAACATGAATACTGCGAATAAAAATAATTCTTATTCAAACAATTATTTCAAGAGTTAAAATTGCGGGAAGCATCTACTTTGTAGACTAATCATAAAATTATACCCGCGATATTTAGTAAACGGCGAGGATCATTCGTCAGCAGAACCACCAGACATATACCTAGGTATTCTACCGATAAATGATCCAACTAATTTCGATGTCTCAACAACAGAAAAAGTAATACCTGCGTAGACATTGGGCGTCACAATTTTTAACTGATGATATTGCGGGACACAACTACTCTGCGGCTTAATGACCTACTAAATAGCAAGTTGCTCTCTGATAATTTAACCGTATTGAAGGCCTAGTCGTTGAATGGCAAACAAAATTGAAAATTCAGTATAAAAAATTACATATACAAGATGCAAATAAAATGTGTAACCAAACTCTAAGGCGGATTTTGTGTTAGAAATTAAAGAAAATGTTCATACAAACGTGTTCGGGATACTCTTCGTTTACTACGTCTCGAAAACAAAATTAATGCAAATATTCGCTTTTTTTCGAGCCTCGCAGACAACATAGCTAATTAAATAGCTACTACTATATTTATTTAAAAAATGGTTTGATGTTTTGTCATTTTTAGCAATAATTACGTAGACGTCCTAGTAATATGCAGGGAACACTATTTTGTAAATTTTAGTACTGTGCCGTAGTAGAGAATTAAGTTATACAAATTTTACCTAAATATCATAATTTTACATCAGATATAATTAAAGATTTTTGCAAAATCGTCAGATAGGCCAGGAAAAAGAGCTATGGGAAATGACCATTTCGCGACTTTTGTTTCGGCAACCTGAATTTATCACTATAGATGCTAAATGTTTAATTCAAAAGTCATAAATAAACTTCTTCTGTTTATAACTTTTGATCTAATGAATATTTTTTGACGCTCGAGAGCTAGTTTTGTAGGGCTTTTGAAGACAAAAAAAAAGTACTTTACTGTTTTCTCGTGGAAATGAACGGAAAAAAGTTATAAGCGAAAAACGTGAATTTATGTAAAATTATACAATTAACCAGCCTGTAAACAATCTTCTCCCATTTTTAGACTGTGGAAACTAATATGTTATTGTACATAATATTTAGCAGTTATAGTGATAAATTCAGCTTGCCGAAACAAAAAGTCGCGTCCAACTCTATATTTCCTGACCTAAGAATAAGCAGACTTCTCTCTTTTTAAATGAAATATAAATGAAAATATTGACATATTTACATAAAACACCTTCTTACAACTGCAGTGATACAAGGTCTCATAGGCTCATCTCTTATAATAAGAGAGATATGGCACAATAACTTGTACCTATCATTCTTACTATTAGATCAAACCTGATATTACAATCGTAAGAAAGTGTCTTAACTGTGTAAAAATATAGGGTATTCCTTCAAAAAACAAAAGCCTGTTTATTTTGACACGTTCGCGTTGTCCATTTCTTCTGGTGCTGTGTCATACATCTTTGATATATAGGTAACTTATTTTTTGTTTTAAAAAATAATGGCTATAGGTGGGATGCACAATATAGGTGAGCACTCCGTATGTGTGTTAAAAAAAAATAATCAAAAGTTGTACGCCAAATTTGACAGAAATCACTTCAGTCGTTTGTTTTTCAATTCTATGGTGCCTTTTGTTTGTCCATTAGGTACAAAAGATAAAAATAAAACACAAGGCAAGAGCCATTGTCACTCCTACAGGTCACCAAGCCTTGTATTTAAATGAGTTCAAGCATAAACATTCTGGAAACCATACTTCCAACAATGTTGTATGATATTTGTGTGCAAATTTTTAAATGTAAATATAATATTCTGTTTACCTACGACCACTACTGTAGGTACATACTTAAAAACACACCGTCTGCGATCAATGTAAGATTCCTATTACGTACGGTAAAAAATTGTATTGACCGTTGCTAGGCGGTTGCTAGGAAAACTGTACGATTTTTTTACCCGACGTAATAGGAATCTTGCATTGATCGCAGACGGTGTGTTTTTAAGTATTTAAAGTAGTGTTCGTAGGTAAAGTATAGTACGTAATACGTGGTGTAATGCAATTACGCACTCATATAATTACGCACTTGCCGCTACGCGTTACGCGGCGTCGTGCGTAACTTTTCCATTCGTGCGTAAAATGCTTTTTACAACACTTATTACGTAATATACTATTACCAAACTGCTGCTTCATGTCTATTTTCAAATTTAATAATTTATCATGTTTTAGAATGTAGAGGAAACGTTTCGGATTTAAACTTGTCATCTTAAATATGAGATATTTTATAATAAATCTAAAAGTTATCCATGAAGAATTAAAATTGACCAGTACGTGATTTCTTTGAACTAAAAAGAATGTTATGAACACACAATTTTAAGCTCGCTCAATGTACTCATGTAAATTCAAAATTATTTAGCTGTGCTTACATTAATTCGGAATCAACTAGGAAAGATCTGCGGTAATCTTTTAGTTTTTCTTTTTTTGTTAACAAGACGCTCAATGGAAAATTATGTCGGAGGAAGAACTTCAAGACCTCTGAATTATTCAACTTGTTAACATTAAGATAACCGCATAGCAGTGAATAATTTAGCGAGATAAAGTTGGGGGAGTTAGCAGGCCACTGGAATTAGCGTCTTACCCTTCTTGCTATTTACCATGAAACGTTTCATCATACTCCATTCGAATATACAGTTCAGATGTTCCAAACAGGGTACGTGTGAACTATATCTCGATATTATCGAATTGATATGATTTCTACAAATTAAAAATTATCTTTCCAACACAGAATGATGAAAGTTATCGTTTCACTTGTCTTTTACTTCAGATGTTGCTTAACTGTATATAAAAAAGATTTTTAAAATTTCTTGGATTTAATAATGTACAGGATGTTTTCGAAAGTGTGGTTTTAATTTTTAGGGGTTATAGTTGATGCTAAAATAATGCGTCTTGCGAAAAATTTACTCTAATACAGAGGCTTTATACACGTGATTAGTAATTTTGTTTGAAACAGTACCTTTTGTCACTTCGTGTTAACAATTAAATTTTAGTAAAATTAAAAATTACTAAAAGAATAAGTTCAAGACGTTTTAAAACGCAACGTTCTGTTTCACCGGCATTGATTAGTGTATTTTTTTTATTTTATTCAACCAATTGACGGTCGCATTATTTCGAAGCGGAGCCACAACAGTTTGTCGTTATTCATTGTAAACAAATCACTGCGATTGATGACTCTAAGGTGTCCACTATTTGTATTTCTATAATTTATCTGTCCTTTTCCGTATTCGTACTCCCTTACACTTACACTGACTCATGGTACGCAATTTTTTAAACAAAATGGTATGAGGATCAGACGCATGGACCTGCCTTATGGTGTGGGTAATCGCTAGTTCTAAATCCACGTGATATTTGCCTGTAAAGGCGAATGAAATCTTTTATGTACAAAACAGAAGTTCGCACAGTTAAAGTTATATGAAGAGTTGAACTTGCATCAGCAACAATTCGCCAACGAGGAGCATTACTAATGTAACAATTTACTTGCTTTAAAAGACGAATATTTTAAAATTAAAAATTGTACATTAATTATATTAAATTAAAACCCCACCTTTAAAAACAATCTCAACGATTCATGTATTTGTTAAGAGACCTACTTATTTTTGACTTGCATCCTTCCGTGGCAGTTATGGTTAAATAATATTCGATCTGGTTGATACATTTCGCATTATACTTCATAATATCGCTCTCTCTCTTCAGAAGAAAAAACAATGTCAGACATCTTCTAAAATGGCAAGCGAAATCGCTCTAGAAAGAAATCTAAACCGCTACTGTGCCAACCAGCCCAGAACTTGTTTCCTTTGTCTGCGATACTGTTCATCATTAAAATATTACTTATTAGGTCATACATGAGCGATCCTATCAGCGACCCCGAGTGGTTCGAGAACTGTAAGCAGCCGATGGTGTTCAAGAAGCTCCTCTATGCCCTTTGCTTCTTCCACGCTTCGATACAGGAAAGGAGGAAGTTCGGCCCGTTGGGGTGGAACATCCCTTACGAGTTCAACGAGACAGATTTAAGGATAAGCGTGATGCAACTGCAAATGTTTTTGAATGAGTACGAGGTGAGTCCATTGTGAATTTCATCATAAGTTTTATCATTAATTTGAAAGAACAGTTAGATGTAACCTATTCACTTTGGTTTTGTGGATAACTGCTTTTGGAGGTGTAAGTATACATTTTTATTCCTGTGGAGCATTAGGTAGCTTTAATTTTTTCACTAACTGTTGAGTTAGAACAAGACCTCCAAGTTGTTGCAGGTCTTGTTCTTTATTGTCTACAGCTTCTTTTATGTGTTCCTTTCATTTTGTTTTTTCCATTACACTTCCTTTATCTACGAGTTCTATTATTTCAATATTTGCTATCCATTTAAGCAAATGTTTGCACTTCTGCAAATTTCACCGTTTTTGCATCATCTTCGTTTGATTCGTTTGAGTTTTTTCATTCAGAATCATTTTAAGAAATGTTTCTCTTAGTATTTTTTTTGGAGGGACTAGCTTGGATGTTTCTCCAATATGTTTTATTTGTTTCAATCAAACTGAATGAGGTAAATCCTTCTTAAGTGTGAGATATTGAGCATGATGGACGAATAAGGAAACAGAAAAACGAATCAAGTAATTACAAGTTTCAAGATATCCTAGTGGTACAATTTAGTTCGCAGGAATGCGCATTAAATAATAAAATACGAGCTCATTACTCTCTTTTATGAAGGGTAACGGTCATTCGAATTGGATTAGCCTTTGAAATGGGATTTTCAGGGCCTCATCCTCTTCCACCGTGCAGGATCAGTCCGATCCAATTGCACCTCATAAAATTGAATCATGTCCATGGCACGATGTCTGTGCCCCGGTGTATGCTCGAGTCTATTATATAATTTAGTGCGAACGTGGCGTCGCGACGCGCGTTTGTCGTTTCTTTTGTTTTCTTAAGATATATGGAGCTCTTGTTTTCGAAATAAAGTAAGATACTGTTTTGTATACAAATATATTTCGTTACTAGGTATGGAAATATATGACATCGGGACGTTTTTTTCGACTGTATAGTAAATTTGATTATCAGTTAAATCTATGTCTAAAATTTTCTTATCCTATCTTATCCCGGTGTCCCGAAATTTCTACAGGGTGTTGTATGTCGAAAAAGAGTACCCATATCTTGAGCACTTTCAAAGATATCTATATTTAGTATCTACTTCCACATGGGCTCTAGTGATGCTAAATTAGAAATACTAATATTGAGAAAGCAAATCGGTGGTACATATATTTTTTAAGAACACCCCTTTTTGATTTTGGAACCGGACACCTTTGACAAAAATTAAATTTGATTTTATCAGAATAATCGCCTTGTAGGTAATTATTTCGTTAAAACGTTTCAATTTAAAATAACCAACATATAAGGGTGGTTTCATGAAAAATGGAAAACATTTAAGTATATTTTTCTTTTATTATAGTTGTACAGAAAGAGTGTAGGTACAACACTTATGAGAGCAATTTTCAAAATATCGAACCTACCGACGCACGACACAATAAAACTTTCCCATTTCATTGCCTCCATTTTTCGTCAAATATCTGAAAGTAGGTCAGATGTGTTGGAGGGCCGCTTAGTTGCTACTCGCACAGGATTTTATCTTGTCTCCGAATGTGATCAATTTGGCATCATTTGTTTGCAAAACGAGTATTTTATGAGCGGCCCCTCGGGACCGTCTCTTCTCGTCCCGGGAAATAGGTTGGAACAATGGTGGCATTAAATAACCATTAACGGAGGCCGGGATCGCCAAAATGCAGCGCTCGGTGGCTCGTATCGGGGATTATTTGAATAAAGCCGTTTGCAACTTTAGGTGTGCCAAGTTTTCCGAAATAATTACGGGCGATACGGAGGCATTAAATTAAATTCGTCGTTGAGCGTCGTGGGGCCGAGAAATTTTATTTTCCAACAAGTATACACACGTCTTACAACGTTCAGGATATTGCCCATTTGTATGTATTGTCTACTCCTTATTACAGACTAGGCGGTATCTGTTTTGGTTTGGGTGAATCGTATATCCACGGAGATTTGTGGCATTCAAATATCACTAGAAATGAAAATTTTTCTATGCGCATAAAAAACGTGGACTTAACTTTTGGCGACAAGATATGTTAAAAAAAATTGAAAAATGTCATATTTTTCTTCCTATTTAATTATGTATCTTTTCAAGAGTTGATTTTAGGCGAAAATGGAAGAGTAAAATTGTAATTAAATTTTTTACAAAATATGACTAGTTTTTAAGGAATTTTTTTGGGGTCTTTAAATTGGGTATAGGATAGTTGGCCCAAGAAAGCTTCGTGTTATATAGAATCTTCCCACCAAATTTCATCAAAATCAGTTTGATAGATTTTGCATAATAATTTTGCAATCGAAATTTTGAAAAAAAATTGCAAATATTCAAAATTTTGCACACCAAAAACCAAGGCCCTTAGATACTTGAAAATGTAATCACATACAGGGTGTTTCTAAAATAAGGTGCCAAATTTCTGCTGCGTTAAAATTATCATCTGCTCATTAAAATAAGCCAAAAACTTCCTATTAACATGTGCCCTAAAACGCACCCTTAGGAAGTTATATGCCCTTAAAAGGGCTCAAACAAAACTGTTTTTTTATACTTAAATTTTCCACTCACCACTTTTACTACTGCAAACCTCAATTGACAGTTTATCAATAACTTAAATTGTTAAGCGTTGTGGCAACGTCAGTCTTTTATTTGCCATGGTAAACAGTAATTGTAATTTTTGGCCTAATAACTTAAAGAGCAGAGTAATTTTCAAATTCAATTTACTCGAAAACCATTGGAAATATCGATTTGGACAAAGATAATATTTTTTACGTAAAATTGTTAATATTTTATAAATCTGTAGAGAAAATTGTAAAAAAATCGAAATAAAAAAAATTACGGACCGAAAACCCCCTACACCAACCTAAATGGGACGCATATGATTTGCATGTCGAAAAACGGACTAGCCCATGTTATTTAACGTAAAAAGTTATGTAAGACCCACACATTTTTTTGTATTTATTTGCGACAGTTTTGTCAATAACAGAAAAAAAAACAGTTTTGTTTGAGCCCCTTTAAGGGCATATAACTTCCGAAGGGTGCGTTTTAGGGCACATGTTAATAGGAACTTTTTGGCTTATTTTAATTAGTTATAAACGCAGCAGAAGTTTGGAACCCTATTTTAGAAACACCCTGTATAGAAGCTTTGAAACGCTTTTTGAAAACTTCGAATTCGTCAATTAGGAGAGCTCTGGCGCTTGTTTAAACATTTGTCGAATTGTTGTACTTATATTTTAAAGCAGGTTTTAAAAGCTATTGGAAAGACGCTTCTTTGAAAAAAAAACAGATCGATTGGTCAATTAATTACGTAGTTATAGCCGATTAAAGTTAACCGTCATTTACACTAAATGTACTGGGACATACGGGCTAATTTTTCGAAAAATACTTTTGGTATTCTGAGTAAGTAGGTACTTACCAGGTCTAAGTTTGCAATACTTTTTTCATTAGCAACCTTCTTTAAAACGTGTTTAAAGGTATTTATGCAAGCGAGAAATTCAAGAAAATCGTACGAGTGGTGGTGGTGGGAGAAGCAGAGAGCGCGGCCGCTTCGGCCTGCTCGAAATTAAATCGGCGAGTTCAACACCGCGACGCGCTTAAAAATTTTTAATATCTCAGCTTCTAGAGGTCCGATTTTAATGATTTTTTTTTAAAATCGATGTCTCGCGATTAAAAAAAAAACAATTAGCGTATTTTCAAATGCCTATCGTTAATAATTATTAGTCTTTCAACAGTTCGATAATTATTTATCTTTAAACTTCCTATAAATATCAACTTTATTTTTTTAATGTATCAAAGGTAAGTGCATACACTTAAATACTGTTTATCAAAGATCAAAAACAAATTTATTTAAATATTCTAAAATAGTTTAAACAGCAATTATTTTTAAAATATGTCGAAAATTAGTAACATAATGAGTTAATTTCTCATTTGCTTATATTTTAAACAACAAATAATATTTGAATTATACTTTGATCGGCTATAACAACGTAATTAATTGACCAATCGACCTGTTTTTTTTTTAAAGAGGCGTCCTTCCAATAACTTTTAAAACCTGCTTTAAAATTTTGATTTGATTGAATATTCACAAAGTTATTCTAATTGTTTATAAGTACAAAAATTCCACCAATGTTTAAACAAGCGCCAGAGCTCTCCTAACTGACGGATTCGAATTTTTCAAAAAGCGTTTCATAACTTGAGAGCCCTTCTGTGATTAAATTTTCAAGTATCTAAGGGCCTTGGTGCAAAATTTTCAAAAATTTGCAATTTTTTTTCAAAATCTGGATTGCAAAATTATTATACAAAATCTATCAAACCGATTTTGATGAAATTAGGTGTGATTATTTTACATAGCATGAAGTTTTCTTGAGCCAAGTATGAAGGTCCTATACCCAATTTAAAGACCCCAAAAAAATTCCCTATAAAGTAATGTTTTTTTAACACTATTTTTGGCGAATTTTTCGATATTTACAATAATACATAATAATGATTCATGCGATTTGTAACTAGTCATATTTTGTAAAAAATTTAATTACAAACATTTTTTTCCGCTTCTGTTTTCGCCTAAAATCAACTCTTGAAAAGATACATAATTAAATAGGAAGAAAAATATGACATTTTACGAATTTTTTAAACATATTGTGCCGCCAAAACTTAAACCCACATTTTTTTTTATGCGCATAGAAAAATTTTCATTTCTAGTGATATTTGAAAGCCAAAAAGCCAAAAATCTCCGTGGATATACGATTCACCCAAATACGGACTTTTTGAAACAGATACCCTCTGGACTATTACACAGGCTGTTTTACAACTCATTGAAAACATTTTGAAGATAAATAATGTTCACACCGAACATGAACTTGTCTTTAATAGACTCGGTTGCGCCTCGTCTATTAAATACCAGCCGTGGCATTAAATCCTGTCTAGTCAAACAACTGACTATTTTTTTACGTGATATTGGTTTCAATATTACGCTACCGCTATCTAGGAAACCAAAGCTTTATGGTACAGATAATATATTTCCGTTTATTTGCTTTATTCGTACGAGTTTTGACGTGACAGTCAGAATGCGCATCCACCACAACTGTAGCCCAATCTTTAAATTTACGTCCACCCCGTTTGCAGGACATCCAATACGACGCGCTGCTCTACTTGACCGGTGAGTGCAACTACGGTGGTCGGGTGACCGACGACTGGGACAGGCGCTGCCTCTCGACGATCCTTAGGAAGTTCTACTGTAAGGAGGTCGTGGAGAACGTGAACTATGCCTTGGATCCCACAGGTTAGCCCTCCCATCAATCACGCCGATAAATTGGAGGTTGTGCGTCCGAGTAATTGCGAGAATCACTGCCGCGCGTGAGATTTTTATTTTACGACGTTGTAGTTGTGATGGATTTCATTTTATATGTCTTGGAATTAGGCCTAAGCTATCTTCATAAGGAATGATTGATTTCCTAGTCAAATTCCATTATCTCAAACATCAAATATTTTAATGTTTGGGAATTGGAAACTATGTTCAAATTTAGTGTCTTCTTTAAACACTAGGTGGATTTAAATAAAGCAGCAAAAGTCCTATCAGATAATCTTGAGGTTAAAACATGATAGACAATTGAGCGAAATATTTAATGAAAGTTGCTTGATTTGTTCCAGTTCCACGGTATTTATAAATTTATAATCGCAAATATGCATCGATGAAAAATATCTTAGTCATATTGAGGGCTGTTGTATCTTGAGAGACACTCTCACTAAGAGTTCCAAAATTTGCAAATTCTATAAATTCGTTTAATTCTTAGTGTTTCAAAGAAAACATATTTTATCCATTTTACTCGAAAAACTAGTATTATTCAAATTTAGTTTACACACTAAAATTTAGTTTACAATGTTATCTACGTAATTAAACAGAATAGTCTTATGAAACAAATAAAAAGGAAAAGTGTAGTCAATTTACCTCGACTTGCAAAATTGGTTTGCAAAACTCTGAATACGTGGGCTCCTTGTAGCTTGCCTCTACATCTGTAACATGGAGACTACACAATCTGTGAAGTGTTTACAACGGTGGTCATGATTACCGTCGCTCAGCAGTGAAAGATGGACGTAAGAATTTGAACTATAACACGCGAAAGTGCAATCATTAGTATCATTACAACGAAACTGTCACCAAGAAAGATGCCTATACTACGTGAAAATGTCAAAAAAGGTGCTTAATCAGAAAGAAAGTTATTTTTTTTGGAGGGCCATATGTCAGTAACGGTGCTCCGGAGGACCATGTTTATAGGACCTTTTTTTACTATTTTTGGCTCTACTTTCACCTCCTTAAATTTTGTACCAATTTTTCCAAACACCCTATATATAATTGCAAGTACAATTTTAAATATTACCTCTAACTATTACAGTGTAATCATTGAGAATTAAAAAAAAACTATAGGTGTAAAAATTTAAAATTTTCAGAGGCAGGAGACAAATTTCTGCGCCACTGAATTTTCCGACTTTTTTATTTTTTTTGTGAAAGGATCCGTTTTACAGTTTTTTTTAATGTATTCAAGTGTATACAAATTCTGTGATTCTTGCTTGTACTTAGTTAAGGTATATTTGGCCCAATTATCATATTTCATCTGGTAACGTTCGTGTTCCTTGTATTAAATACATCCTGTAAAGAGTATATTAAATACATTCTGTATAGATTTCAGAGATAAATAACCAAACTTAAAATTTAAAGTGGTGTTTTCAAAACGAGAAATGAAGAAATATTGGCACAATTAAATTGATAAATTGAAGATAAAAATCGACAATTTCCAAGATGCTATGTCATCGGTTAGGCTCTTGATTGTTGCCAATGAGTTGCTTCCAAAGCATTGCTAACCCTTTGTTTCGATTGACATTATCTCGATTCTTCTGCCTATAGGTATATATTCTTGACCGAAAATCTTCTCTCTATCATCAGAATTTTGGTATTAGATAGATCTTGTGTCTCGAATCTCAACCGTGCTCTGCAGTTGCTGATTTTTCAGCTTCTCTACAAGCGACACCTGTGCTTCCTGTTTACTCAATGTATATTTTTCCACTTGTACATCAAAGCCTTGTAGTAGATAGTTCTTAGTTGAAAGAGACTGCTCTTAGCTTCCTTGAGGTGTTGTGCATATATCTTATTAATATTTTTTTTCCTTGAGATGCAGCCTTGTCACTATATCCGTGAATATAGGGCAGATATATTGTCGTTAGATATTCCCCTTTCTTCCTGTCCTTAGTCTTCACAATACATTATTTTCTAGGTGGTGGTGAAATAGAGCAAATTCAGATATCTATCAGTGTGAGTTGGCTTTCTATAAGCGCTGAGCCCTAGGTTGTTCCATTTTGGCTTAACAAGGACATCTAGGAACGACAAGATACCATTTTCTTATATTTGCTGAAGTCTGGATACATTCCATCGATGTAGTTCAGGAATCATATATTGTTATATTCGTGTGGCTAGATAATGAATGTATCGTGAACATATCTGGACCAACACTTTATTTTTAGAGTTGTTGACTCCAAAGCTTTATTCTCGAAGATTTACACGTAGATATTTGCCAGATAAGAAATATCCTGAACTTATCTGAACTAATACTTTTAATTTAGAGTTGTTGACTCCAAGGATTTCTGCTAGAAGGGTTACATGTAGATATTTGCCAGAGCTGGAGACAAAGGTGAATACTTAGCTGCACCTTTGGTTTGTTTATAAAACTGATTCCTAGAGAGGAAGGCCCATCTGATACATACTTTTACCAAGCTTATCATCTCATTCTGCGCCAATTGTTTTTTATAATTTTTCATGTTTTAACCAATTTTGAAATCTAATGGTTCCGTTTAGTTTTTAATTATTTCAGATTCGCTCTTGTTTGGAATGAGACATGGGTAAAATACGTAAGAATAAAAGAAATGGAAACTAACTAATTAACTTTACAATTATGTTGTCAAGCGTTAATATTCAAACATGTGCCCTTTCTAAAGTCTAAATACCTTAGAAATTTGAATATAGTTTTCAATTAAGTCAATTTTGAATGAATAAATAGATTCTGGGCTTTTCGAGAGTATTTGACGTTTTAGTTCAAATACATTTGATCACTTCTATATCCATAATAATCCGTGCTATCAGATATATGTAATCGTATAAATACGGATAATTACAGGCATGTATTACTGTCCTGAGAAGACAGAATACGACGATTTCATCAACTACACGAAATCCCTGCCCCTTATAACACACCCGGAAGTGTTCGGCATGCACGAAAACGCCGACATCATGAAGGACCAGCAGGAGTCCACTTTGCTGTTTACCAACACATTGCTTACCCAGGTACGCGTCCATTTCTTTCTACGTGAACTATCAAGGAAGTAACATGCCTTTATAACGACATTTGTTTTATTTCCAATGCTTACCAAAACTTAGGATAGAACGGTAAGTCAATTCTGACATAAGTAACGGACAATTCCATAATAAAATAAAATACTTTATTTTAACTGTTAATTTTTGATCGGCTTCATAGGATTTGGTTGAATTAGAGGTAAGTGTAATAAAAATTAGGCATTTCACAAAGCACAAACTTATAAAAATAGAGCTGTCATTTCTTTGGGGTTGATGTAAATGACAGGGTGGTAATGAAGGTTGCGGGATTCATTTTTATTATGCTTTTCGATCAGCACCATTAGCATCTCGGTTATCTTAAGAGATGCGAGACCGGATAGATTAGGAAAAAATTGCGGAATTTGACGACGAATAAGTTGCAAAAGAAAGATTTGACCTGTGATTTTTTTATTTTGAAATTAAGAACGGAAAACTGAAAATTTGTAGAAGACTTTATTAGAAATCAACCCAATATATTTTTAGACTCCGTAAATATTGGCATTATTGTAGTTACAATCCCATATTCTAAAAATGGTATGTCACGTACGTTTACAATTACTTCTCGTCTGGGTTCTGTTTCTCACCTAGAAATTCTCAAGAAATATATCAAGATTAGACTGGAAATTAAAACTGAAATTTCACGCTCTCAAGCAGGTAGATGTTACAACCAACCAGTCAGTTCTATGATTCCTAATAAGATTGCACAGTTTTTGAAATTAGAACATCCTGAAACATATACTGGCCATTCATTCCAAAGAACATCGGCAACGTTACTGGCTAATATGGTTGATGTATTAGCAATCAAGAGACATGGTCGGTGGAAATCAGCCACAATTGCAGAAAGTAACAAAAACAGTTTAAGTAACAAAAATGAAATAGCCAATGTTGTTTTAATGGATCAGTCAGATAACATTGAGCCTCCCGTTGTCCGTAGCAACTTCCACTTCTACGGTAAAATCCACTTACTTCCTTAAAAACAATGTATTAATTGTTTGTTTACTATAGTGGGAGCAGATAAAATATATTCGTCAAGTTATTCGCCATCAAATTCTGAAACTTCGTCCTAATTTGATAAACTTTGTATCTCATCTGTACAGCTAAGGACATTTAAAGACATAGATACACTGTTTTTATATTAATTTTTTTGTGTATATTGGTATAAAAATTAGAATTAAATTATTGAATTTTAGCTGTATCAATATTAATATTGTATTAACAACTTTCTATCTCTAGAATGACGGGTCCAATAATGAGCATATTATTACATCAAGTGTCACTTTTCGTTCAGTTATATTTATTTTAATTTAATAATGGAAATGATTAAATATTTTATAATCGACATAGTATAAAAAGAATAGTACATAAATATTGATTTCTTGTTTTTTTTTTTTTAATAATAATACTTTTTCAATTCACTTAAAGCGACTGAAGAAGATAAGGGTAAGTACTAACCTGCTGTATTTAATAAAATAACACAGTTTAAGAAATACTTGGTAAGTGCATTTTGTGATAAAAACTTTGAGGTTTTGAGGACAAGCCATTCAAACTATAATAATGTCTCTTTGAAATTCTGTGATGACTATAATTCTGTAGATAAAGTATGACAGTTCCAGTTGAAAATTTCCTGAAATAATCGACAAATGATTTCAGTTATAAAAGATCATCAGAATTTTCTGGCTAACGCAGTTAATTATATTTAACTATGGTTTAACATTTTTGCTGGAAATGAACTTAACCCGATTTGGCCGAGTTTCCCAAACCTATAAACCGTGCTTGGTAGATAGGTTTGGATCGAGTTACTATATCTGTCTTTGTCTCATCATTTTATATCTCACACGTTATTCTACCGGTTTGGGCAGTTTCACTTTTGGAAGAATGGGTATTTATTAAAAATTATGTTTAAATAAGTGTGGCTGTACATTTTGCAATAACAATTTAATTTAAACATTAACTTTGTGATTAATGAGACACCAAAACCCAAACAAAAGGAATTTTCGCGACATTCGCGTTAGAGTGACTAACTCTAACTCCTAATACAAGAAAACTCAAGCTAACCAAGTTAGATGTAGCCAAAGTAGCCAATGTAGCCAAAAAAACCCTACATAATAACAAGAAGAAAAAACACTGTCAGTTCTATGGAAACTAAAAGACATTTAAATGGGTGCTAGGCGTAGGCGAAGATCAGTAAACAAACTTGCTATTCAAATGGCACAGAGCATTATTCTTGTTGAGAAATAACAAACAAAATTGATCAATATCTAACAACTGTTTATTTTACGAAGCTCAAAAAGAAATTGCCCAAATTGCAATTCTGTTTTCTCGCTGGTATCCAAAATTTAACACAATAACATCACCTCAACTCAAATTGAACACATTGCTATGATTACTATCGATTTAAACTACGTATTTTAGTTTCTCAAGGAACTCTGGTACGATATTAAGTATAGCACAACCTGTAGGTATATATTTACGATTTCTAGTGTTGTACTAAGAATGTAGCTATATTTTGATATGTAGGATGCGATGTCGTCTGGCGGTTCGGCTAAATCTGCCGACGAAGTGGTGATGGAGGTATCGTCGGATATTCTGGCGAAATTGCCCAAGAACTTCGATAGAGACGTCGCGATGGAGAAGTTTCCAGTTGTCTATGCTCAGAGTATGAACACGGTGCTGGTCCAGGAAATGACCCGATTCAACACCTTGCTGACGGTGATCAGGAATAGCCTGCGTAACGTTCAGAAGGCTATTAAAGGTATGTTTCCTTTAGCTAGATTTATTCCCCACGTTTGGATTTTATTTGCACTATAAACAAGAAAGATAGATTGTGCAGGTATTTCAAGCTAATTTAAGCTAATCATTACCTAATAGGTTGCAATAGTGTTCCATTTCCAACATAGGGTGTTCTAAAAGCTCTATAACAAACTTTGACAGATGGTAGCTGGGTTAATTTCAAATATTTTTACTTATGTGAACATATGTCCGATCCGTTTTTGTTTAGAAGTTACAAACATTTAAAAAAATATAATTTCAAATTTCAAACAAAGTGGCCTGATAAATAAAAGTGAACCTCTATTAACCAAATTAACAAATCTTGAGACTATAAGAATTGTTCAAACTGTCCACCCTTAGCTGGAATGCAAGGCTCACATCTGCGAACTAAAGATTCCGTCACTCGACGGATGAGATTTAGATCATTTTATATCTGGTTAGCTGCATCCTGAATTCTTTCAAGTAACTGCTGACCGGTATCGATTTTAACACGGTAGACGAGCTGCTTTATATGTTCCCATAAATAAAAGTTCAAAGGATTTAGATTTGGGGAGCGCGGTAGCCATACTACTGGACCCTGTTGACCTATCTATTTCTTCGGGAAATGATCATTTAACCAAGTAATTACTTTTCTCCCTCTATGTAGTGGTGCACCATCGTACTGATACCACATATTTTCCGCACTGCCAATAGATTGTGACTTCTTTAAATCATACCTTAAGAAAGAATAAAAACTATTGACTATCTAAGAACTGACAGTATATTTACAGAAAGTTGACTATTGCTTACTTACGAGAAGTAAAAACAAAGATAATATTAATTGTTGCTGTTTAAAATATTTTTCTTACAAGACACTGTTTAGTTGAATCAGTGTGTTTCACAGTAACATACCATGTTATCTATCATCAGTTGATGATAGATAACCACAGGACCACAAAAAAAAATGAGTGGAAGATTCCTTGAACCAGACCAAGTGCATTACATGTTTTTTGGGTCGCTGAAACCGAATCCGAAACCTGTTTTGCCTCATCACGTCAGCATTTTTTTCTAACTTCAAAAAACAACTTGAAACTATGAAACCCAATAATAGCAACCCTTAAACCATATAACCCTATACTTTCATAACTCAATAACCTTGAGATCGATAACCTATAACTTTAAAATCCATAACCTGAAAATCTATAATCTCAAAACTCATAAATCTCAAATTCCAATAAACTACAAACACAAAATGAGCAAAAAAAACAAAAAAACTTACACGCAAAACTGAAACCTCAATATCGGAGAGTTTTAACTTTATAATTCTGTACATCCATCACTTCATAACCATAAACCCCATAACTCTGAAATCCCATAACCCTGAAGTCCCATAACCCTATAACCCCAGTAATCCAAAACCTCATAACCCTATATTATATTGTGACATGCAGTTTGTTTATGTTATATTTCAGGGTTATGGAGTTTATGGATTATAAGGTTATGAAGTGATGGAGGTGTAGAATTATGAAGTTAAAATTCTCCGTGATTGAGGTTTTAGTTTAACTTGTAAGTGTAAGACTAGAAGAAAATACCGTTTACGTTTCGTCATTTTAGTGGCAATATTAATTTCTTTACAGGTTTAATTGTTATGTCAGTGGATTTGGAAGAAGTGGTTACAAGCATCTTAACGGGAAGAATACCACAGATGTGGGCCAAAAAGTCGTATCCTTCCTTGAAGCCTCTTGGTAGCTACGTCAACGACTTTCTTATGAGATTGTCATTCCTGCAAGTAAATATCTTTTAATTATTCTAAAAAGAATTTGACACTAATCACATGGTACACTATTTTGGTAATCTCTTCATTGTTTATAATTATCAAGAATTTAAAGTAAAAAAAAGTACAAAAATTATTTGCTGAAAAATTTATTTTGAACAGATGTGTATATCTCGCAAATGATAAACCATTGACGCAAGACTTACATCAACTAAGTATCGCACAGAACAAATCTAATTTGTCATTTGCAATTCATTTTATTATATGTTCTGCTCTGAGGATGTTATCTTGTCGTGCAATGAACAAGACCTTGGGAATTTCTACTAGTTTCATGAGTATACACAAGAACAATGAGGAGAGAAGACAAAATATATGAAATTTCAGTGTGTACAGATGTTATTAAATTATGCAAGCGAATAGAAAATGAAACAAAAGGATAACTGGGTCACATAAACATAGATTGTCCGTTCACATCCATAATGGAAAAGAAGACCACATGCCAGAAAATAAAAAATATAAACATGTACATACTTAATCATTGCTTTATTTTTCTAGAGTTACATCAGGAAATCATTTTTAATGTATGTTTTCTGTCTGTTTGCAGAAATGGATGGACGATGGGGCTCCTCCAACCTTCTGGTTGTCCGGGTTCTTCTTCACTCAGGCTTTCTTGACTGGGGCCCAGCAAAACTATGCCAGGAAATATAAAATCCCCATCGACTTGCTAGTATTTGATTACGAGGTAAATAAAAAGTGTAGAAATACATAATTTAGTGTCGTGTATTGCCTCATTTTGGATACATCAGTAAAAAAATTGTAGGTGTTGAAGCAGTCGCATTTCGAGAAGCCCCCTGAGGATGGAGTATATGTTTACGGGCTCTTTCTGGATGGGGCGCGATGGAATGCGAATATAATGGAACTGGACGAGTCTTTCCCCAAAATGTTGTATGATGTTGTGCCCACCGTGAGTAATTTTAAAACCGCCTTCCTCTAAATGTTCGTCAGTTTCTCTAACAAAAAAATCTTGCAAAGAGACTGATAATATTTTTTTGTGTGATAATATTCTTAATCCTAATTTTTACCACTGTACTGTAACAAACAGCTTTAATTTTAAAAATGACACTAAATGCATGGATGAAGACATGTCTCCATCTCCCATTGCAGGGGGCAATGCAGCCATAAAGAATTTTATTTCAATATCCTTATCCTTATCCTTATTTCAGTGGTATCTCTATTGGTATTACAGGTGTTTGTATAATGTTCTATTTTTTTTTATTAGCATTCATTATATTTGAAATATGAATATCTACTTGTTGGTTGAATAATTTCTGATATAGTTGCCAGGACGTTGGTTTTCAAAAAATAAAATTCCTTTCTTCTAAAGAAATTTTGAAAGTTCTTTCCGTTGTTATTTAAGTGAAAATTGTGATTCTTTGATTTTTTACTAGTGCGTCTCCTTTTCCAGATTTTGCAGCTCGCATCGGGAAAGTTTGCTCCTTCTTTGTAGTGTTATATACAGGGATGGCCAGAAGTACGGAATAAAATTAATATCTTTCGAATGAGTTAATTTTTTTTAAAACGCCGAAACACGTTAACTGATTTTGATTTTTTCCCATCTTTCGGTTATATAATAATTAATTTTTCTTCAACCCCCTAACCCCCAGCTACCCCTACTTTTTTTTCAAATGGAAACATAAGGCATGAGGGGGCTCGTTGAAAAGCTTATAGAAAACCGAATCCAGCCATACCAAATAAACAAGTTTTATTTTTTCAATAACAAGTTTTTTTTCATTTAGAAATTGAAACAACTAGATAATTTACAAAAATAAACTCAATGTCGCAAATGCTGAAAATGTCCTCCATTCACTATTTGGCATTCTCCAAGACGATAGTAAAAGCTGTCCACAGCATTCTGAATGACTTCAGCTGGTAAATTATGCATCTCCGCCCTAATCTTGTTCTTTAAATTCTCAATATTATCCGGTCTGTCCTGGTAGACTCTTTCTTTCAAATATCCCCAAAGAAAATAATCCAGGGGTGTTAAGTCGGGGGATCTTGGCGGCCATTCAACTGTACCCCGTCTACCAATCCAGCGATTTGGAAACATTTCATCTAAGTATCTTCGAACATCAATACCAAAATGTGGGGGAGCGCCATCTTGTTGGAACCAAATTCTTTCATTCGGTATATCTGGATCAATTTCATGAGGGAAAATCACAGCTAGAGCAGGTATCAGGTCAAATGTTAGGAAATCCAGGTAGCGTGCGGCAGTAAGATTTTCTTCAAAAAAGAATGGGCCCAAGATTCTGTTGTTGATGATACCTGCCCATACATTAACTTTTTGTGGATGCTGCGTATGCGATTCGCATGTCCAGTGTGGATTTTCCTGGGACCAAAAGCGATAGTTGTGCCTGTTAACCACTCCATTTAAATAAAACGTAGCTTCATCCGAAAAAAGTACGTCTCGTTGAAAACCATTATTGTCGTCACACCGTCTCATCATTTCCTCACAAAATTGTAATCGCCTATCATAATCGTCTTCCAAAAGCTCTTGGACAAGACATACCTTATAGGGGTGGTATTTCTCTTGTTTCAGAAACATTCGAATTGCAGTTCGAGAAGCATCGTGATTGCGGGCCAATGAAACAGTTGAAGTATGAGGATTTTCAACAAGTTCTAATGCAATGTCTAATTTCTTTTCTTCATTCAAAGCACGTGCCCGTCCAGTTTTGGGCAAAGTCTGTACTGTACCGTGTTCCTCAAATTTGTGAAATATTTTACTAACTGTCCCTTGCGAGATTTGGTTTTCGGGATATTTCGCATTAAATAAATCGCGCACTTCAGCCTGACTTCTTATTTTGTCTCCACATCCAAGCAATATCAAGATTTCGATGCGTTGCCTTTCCGACAATACCATTGCAATTCAGTAAATAACTTGATTTTGACACAATAGTAACGTTTCGAACTCCAATTTACAACTAAAGCGAAAAATTAACCAGAAAGCCTGGCAAGTAAGTGGTGCCAAAAAAACGCAACATAAAAAATATATCTTTTTTGCGTTAGCAGTGATAGGTACAGTTTCAAATTCTTTATTTTATTCTGTGCAAATTCATGGAGGATAACACTGAAGATAATTAAATTTTATTTCACTTGTTAAGTAGGTGTTTTATACAACCCTAAAAACCTTGCTATTGAAAAAATAAAACTTGTTTATTTGGTATGGCTGGATTCGGTTTTCTATAAGCTTTTCAACGAGCCCCCTCATGCCTTATGTTTCCATTTGAAAAAAAAGTAGGGGTAGCTGGGGGTTAGGGGGTTGAAGAAAAATTAATTATTATATAACCGAAAGATGGGAAAAAGTCAAAATCAGTTAACGTGTTTCGGCGTTTTAAATAAAATTAACTCATTCAAAAGATATGAATTTTATTCCGTACTTCTGGCCATCCCTGTATAGTATTGAAATTCCGGTTTCTTTTGTTGGTAGTTGTTTGTAGCATGAAAGGGTCAAATATTTTTCTTCTCCTTGTACTAGGTATCCTTTGGTGGTTTGTTTATATTTCTGTTGGCATATCCATCACCTCTAAAAGTTAACTTTAAGTGAAGTTTCTCGTCCAAGAGTTCTACCTCGCAAATGGTGTGTGCTCGATGTGCTAAGGTGTTAACGATATAATGTTTCTGGGGCGAGAACATTCAGACACCTTTGTATGTGGGATAGTTTTCTGTAACCGCGGTGCCCTAAGGTGTCATCCGATTTCCTATTGATAAAGACATCTAGGAAGGGAAGAGTACCATTTTCTTTTAATTTCATGGTGAAAGTGTTATATCTATGATATCATATGATAAACGTATCATCAACATTTCTGAAGCACCGTTTTGGTTCTAGTGTTGCTAACTCCTGGGTTTTCTTCTTGAAGATTTCCAGGAAAAGGTTTTATCTGGTACGTGTTTTGAAATCCTATCAAGTTTTCATCCTCATGTTCTGCAATAAGCCTTCGATGAAGTTCTGTCAAAGCTTCTTTAATTGACCATTTGTGATATCAAATCATAATTCAACAGGATATCATCTGATCCTAGCTGAATGCCTATCATCATAGTTAAAATCTCTTTTCTTATCTTTCACTTTTTGTGATAAAACTCATCGGACTAGGGAATGATTGCCTGATCTAATTGCGGTCAATATTAGTCGGAGTGGTACGTTAGGGGTGGATCTTTGGAACATCTGCGCTTTTATTTATTTATTTTAGATGTAAGATAATACATACTTATAAATAATTTAAAATTTTATTTGAGGACGGGTACTTACTCAAAACATACGTAACAGAAATATAACGGATTTATTGATTGACCAGCGCCCTAGCAAAAAATGTGTGACTTCACAACGTTATAGAAACCCAGTTAATTTAGCAGAATAACCTTCAAGAATAATTCGCACATACGTCTTCCGATGTCCTCGTAGGTTTTAATGAATAATTCTGCTGAGTATTCTAGATGTGGCTGAAGCCCATAAAGAGGGTGGATCTCAAAGAAAGGAAATCGTACACGTGTCCCGTATACAAAACTTCTGAGAGGAAAGGGGTTCTCTCCACCACGGGACACTCCACGAATTTTGTCATCGCCATGATTCTTCCGACTTCGAGGCCTCAGTCACACTGGATAATGAGAGGCGTCGCCATGCTCTGTCAATTGTCCCAGTAATTTTATTGGGGATATTTTATATTATATTTACTTTTTTTATGTATCTGTATTTACTATAATTTTATTTATATTTTTTTCTATATACACGTTTTATTGCTATGCAAGAGTTATTTTATTTCCTGAAAGTAAATACCTACTGGACCTTTTGCTTCACATTATGAAGAACATACCTAAAAGAAATCTATAAAAAAAAAGGTTTCTTGAGTAAACAGTTTTACTGGAGAATTGCCACCAAATTCAGACACTTTTCATATGATGCAATGATTGATAAAGGTTACAAACTAGACAATTTTTGCCTCTCCTGGTGTCTAATCTGACACCTTATACAGGCTGTTTCTAGAATATGAGGTCCAAAGTGAAACAGAAAGTGTAATTTTTAAGTAAAAAAATGTTGTGAATATGGGTCTCAAAATAAAAGAAAAAGTTACAGGGATGAAAGTGCGCTACCAAAGATTCATTTTGCAGGTCCAAAATATTGGTTAAATTTAAATAAAACTCAATAGAAGATTATCGATTATGATAATCTCAGATATACAGGGTGTCTGGTAACTATATGGCATAATCTCGGAAGTGTATAGGGGAGGTCAAAATAACCCTAGTTTGTCATAAAAAAATTTTTAGTGCCCCTTAACGGAAATACACAGCCCCAAAGGAGTACCCAGCGATTTAAGGTTCTAACTTTTGAACCGACTTGTATAATTTAACGAAATTTTAATATTTTACGTAGGCGATAAAAGCTCTTAAAACCATACTACAGTAGATGTTTTACACTGTCAGGAGAGTCAGGAACGGACTTGCCACCACATTCGTTGGGCCAAAATTTTGACAGGTGTCATTTTATAGATCTGGAAACTAAATTTTTAAATACTTTGGTCATTCCTCTTTAAAAAAGGTACTCTACATTTGTTTCGATAAAATCAGCCATTTTCGAAAAAATTCAGTTTTTGTATAACACGTTTAAACATTAATTTATTTAATTATAAAGTTTATTAGAATAAGCTATTTAATCGAATAACATCACAACTAATACTTCGTATTAAAATTATATAAAATTTGGCATTATTATTACATCTCATTAATGATTACATGCATCTAACTTATGGACAAGCACATCGGCAATTGTGTGGAGGCAAGAAAAATTTATTCTGTTACATTTCTAAATATCTTAACTGCAAGGCTGTTAAAAACAGCTTAGCCTTTTCTTTTTATTTCAGCAGATTTTCGAAATGGTCGCCTCTATATATTTCCTTATCCGACGAATGTTTTCTCGTTGTACTGGAAATAATATTCCAAAATTGTCTCGATTTCGTTGCAATGGTGTGTTATTATTTCTATCAGGTTTTTCCTGATGTGAACTGTCGTCAAATACATAAACCTCTTTAAATTTTCACATAAAAAGATATCCAATGTCGTGTGACTTCGGTGGCCATAAAATAGGTTCACCTCGACCTATCTATAAATAGTCTGCAAGGCCTCTACGTAGTTTCCAGCAGAGAAAACTTCAAATCTTAAAACGTACCAGGTACCTACCTAAAACACAGTGCACTATAATATTGCTAGCTATCATCAATAAATCATGCTTTCTCTCGCATCAAATCTTTGCAAAGTATAAATAACAAACCACAGGACTTACCTGTACAGAAATAAGAGTAATCCAATCACTTGTAACTTAAATATTTCACTATTTTCACGAGCTCTGACAAAATCTGTCAAATGAACAGCCATTTTCATTCCTGTGTAGATATAATAGATGCCTATACTTCTCTAATCTAGGCAGATGCCCCTGTCTAATAGGCATCAAATAACATAAGGAGACGTACTCAGTACTACGTAGATCAAATAAAATTAGTTAATAGTTATTTTTTTATAATTATTTCTTATATTATTTGTAAGCTGAACCGAAAAAAAAATTATTATTAAAATATTCTTTTTTGTGGAAAACATATTACATATAAAAAGGTATTACTAATTTGAGTTTATCAAGTTTTCAAGTATAACAGTCACATTACAAATTTTTGAATAAACACTATTGAATTTCAAACTCTCTATTCATTCCAAAGTGTGTTGCATTGTACTAGTTTGTGTGTAAATATAGAACTGACTCCGGAGGTTTTCTGATATTGTCTGATATATAACAAGTGTCTACCAACAACTGGCCAGAGATAAGAAAGTACAAGGTAAGACATAAAAGATGGTAGAGGTTTGTATGGAATAATTTACACCTTAATTAAGAATAAAAATTATAATCAACACTCACACAAATTGAAATTATGTTTCAATATTTTTTTTCCAAGAATATCTAAGACACACAGATGGACCTTTAGGCAGAAAATAGGCAGTATTTTAACGTAAATCTATGATTTTAACACATTTACGCACTTCTATGAGACAGACTACGAAAATCAAGAGAAATGGATTGCTGTTAAACTTAGTCAGGGTTCGTAGCGGCCGGGAAAACCGGGAATACCGGGAAAAGTCAGGGAATTCGTTATTCTTCATAAAAAACAGGGAATAGTTAGGGAATTTAAAAAATATTCATGAAAGTCAGGGAATTTGATGTTTGCAACTGGAAATTTTGTGAAAGCCGGTCCTGGGTTCTTGAAAGAGAAAACTATTTGTGGTTTTGAAACCTTTATAAGAGGTTCTTATGGTATAAAAATATTATGGGCTCCAGTTGAGAAAAAATTTAATGCATAAACACCAATTAGTATGTAAAAATGAACTACAAGTGACCTGGATTTTATTTTGAAAGTCAGGGAAAACCTGGAAAAGTCAGGGAATTCATTCTTACTTTTGAACTATGAACCCTGTTAGTTCGGATATATTATATTACCTAATATTAAAATATTTTTCTAATTGTCTATTATTCATCTATTTTTTTTATCAACGTCAGAGTTTCAATAGATCTTAAATATGAAACTAAAGAAAACATTGTTTCTTCTTCTTTTAAATGTTGAAATATATTAATAAAATTTTAAAATAATCCATGGCGCTTTTCTAGAACCTGTGCCGTCAGAAATAATAGTTTTTAATTTAATTTAATTTTTTATTATAAAATTATAATTCAAATAAGTAATTCATACATTTATTTTTGTGAAATAAATAATTTTATAGTTATTATTTATTTAGAAAGCTATGTGCAGATTATTTTAAATAAAAAAATATTTTTTCTTTGACAACATGTATTGTCCGTATGATATTTGTTGAGACAGAACTCCAAAAAAAAACCCTGTGTCACTTTCTTGGAATTAACCCGTATTCTACAACCGAAGTAGAAAGACATTGGCGGAAAATTTCAAGGCACGTCCCTGCCTCGGTAAATTGTTACAGTAGTTCCGCTAACAGAACTTTATTGGCTTATTATTTTCTAGGAATTCTATCTCAGCAAATATCGTATAGACTATATTAAACGTTCCTATCCAGTTGATACAAAACTCAGCGTCTAATAGTTCCATTCCACCAGGAAGGTTTTATATATTAATTACAAATGTTCAGTTAGATAAATTATTACTATAAATAATCAATTTCAAAAATACTTGAATACTCGTAAATGTGATATATTTCATTAAACTTCAGCACCCTGTATCTCGAAAAGTAGTGACTCGTTTCAGGTTCATTCAATTTTTTTATTAGAAAATGATCTAAGAAATAACCATGTGAAATTAGTACATAAACTTAGAAAACACCCTGTTCATCTGGATTAAAAAATCGTATGTTTAAAAAACGGCAGACACATGTAAATGACACATTTAAAATAGATCTAAAATAAACTAATTTAAAAAAAAAATAAAGAAAAGTGACTTGTATTTATTTTTTTAATAATTAAAATTTAATGAAATATCCTAAAAAACACATGTATGTGCGACATTGTGCCTGACAATTCATCTAAAAATACTGTGTCATATATCTTGTATCTGTTGATCCCATTAAAAACTGTGAGAAGTATACCGGAAGTCGACATTATGTAACTAACGTCTTAAGCTAATACTTCTATGCGGTTGCCAGGGTTACGCCATCAAGATCGATGTTTCACCCTGCAACCCCTGGGGGTGAAGCTGCGTTGATGTCGGGGCGAGAGGGAGTGTCGCAGCCCTCAGACTGCGAATTCAGGTGAATATCTGGAATTAATCGCTGTTATGCCAGCAATCGGTACACAATCGACGCTGTATTGTTATTTTTACCGAGCTTTCGATTTGGAGGTACGCTCAAATTTTTTTCAACGACGGATATTTGGTTTTTCAGGTGGTGCGGGATGAATCTCTGCATTTATCTCGTGGATAATGTAACGAATGGAATGAACTGCAATATCAGTTTGTCCTAATGCTTACATTTCTTTTTTATTTAACAGTGGCGTACCTAAAAAAGTTGGTCGAGGGAAACTGAATTGAAATTAAAGTCATATATAACAAAAGAAGCAACAGTAATATTTCCTCCTAAAACGGTTTCTTCAAGATTTGGAATGGATATACAGGGTATCCCAGAATATGTGGGTAATCTCCCGAATTTATATAGGGGATGTTAAAATAACATGACAAGTTCCTATAAAAATTTTCCCTAGAGGGCCACCCTACGCAGATACAGGCCCCTGAAAATCGATTTTATTATAATGACTTTAAAATACTTTGTGTAATTTTATTATTTTCTAAAATGAACGACAACAGATAAGACGCCTTAAAAATTTACCAATGAAAACAATTTGTCTTATTTGGTTTGCCAGGGATGGACCAGCTGTAGCTCCGTAATGCCAATTTTTGTACACCCTGTACGATAAGGACACAAAAATAACAGTTTTAGATAGCTTGAACCTTAAACTAAAAAAAGGTACTCTTGGTTGATATCGATAAAATTAACTATTTTCAAGAAAAAACTATTTTTCCCATTTATAGCCCCTCATCTGTACAGGGTGATTCATTAACAATGGGAAAGTCGAAAGCTGAAGATACTGCACGTGAAATGGTGACCATTGGCGCAAACATGCCTCATCCAAAAGTTGATAGTTT